AATTCGAGTGCAGCACAGCGACTTTAAATTTTATACCAAATAGCCACACCTCTTCCTCGCTAACTTGCCTGTTATTAAAGCCCATAGCTCTGCAAAACTCGGAAGGTCTCTTTTTATAGGAGCTCCACCATTCAAGAACAACTTCGAATGGATCCCGCGGTCTTTGCTTACTTTTACGTCTAAATTATCCAACCTCGCTTCATACAATAGAAATGCACCCGTATCATCTTTCCTCAGTATCTATCGCCGAACAAGTAAAGAGATGAAAACGACAATAAAAAACGAAGATTGCACTGTCAAGACTTGCCTTCCCCAATCCCCTTGCGTAGATTGGTATTTACAAGTTTCGTCATTCGCTTTACTCCACAATTTATCAGATATTCAAACAGACAAAGAAAGTGATCCAGAGGATCAACGAGTTATGAATACAACTCCATTGAAACGAAGGTATAAAGCTCTCAAGGATAAAAATACTCCTTTACCATCGTCTTATTACCTTTAGCTATCAACAATTGATTATTCATAATCCCTCGCTTCCAAGCTACGTTATCTAACTTCAAGAAAGTTCATTATTTGATCTCGAATCAGCTATAAAGTCTAGACACGAGTCAAAGCTGCGAATTTTGAATGCCATAGGATGGTCCTTATGATGTATGTCTCTCTCTGCTTAATCTTATTTTTGTACAAGAAGAGTTTGGAAATATCATTGACCTTTTATACACATACTAGTGTACATCATATGCCTACCTCCTTTTACTCGCCATCTTCCCACCCCGATTTTCCTAGTAATGGTGCGCTAATCTTCCCCCACTCCACTTACCACTCCCTCCCTTTCCCATCTTATCTCTCTATAAAATCCCACATACTCCGAAATCTCCAAATTACAGCCCCAGGGAAACCGCAGTAATGTGTGCTGCTGAGACGGAGCAACATTTCAACTTCGTATGTTATAAGTCCAGAAGAATAGACCTTCGTGCTGAGATTCACAAAGGTTTCTTTGTCGTGCTTTCTTGAAGTTTTGCGTTTAATGCATTTTTGTCGAATGAGCAACGAATCCAGATCAACGAAATGCTATAGGAAATCCCAACAACAATGATGACAATAAATATCACTAGGTGCAAAATCTTCTCTTGTTGCTGTCACTGTAGCGGAAGAGACTTTCTCACTGTTTAATCATTTGTTGGTTATGCTCGATGAAAGATTGATTAAAATATTTAATCCGTATGTAAGAGACAAATTCACATCTTTACACTTGCCATTCGACCAAACTGTCATAGCTGGGAGTTAGGCCGGAGAAAACTCTTTGCACATAATGTAAAGAGGTTAAGAAAAGAATCTTATACCTGTTCCTCCTTTCCTTTCCCTTTCTCGGTTCCAATTGCCTAGTTGACTTTGTGTAATTCACTTCCCCCTATATCCCCAAGCTCCCGCTTTCCGAATTCTCAAACCTGTTCATCTCCACATGTACACCTGCCTACTTATAAAAGCACACACCTAAGCATTGCAAGATCCCTAAATATACATACATGGCGGGCAAATAAAAAGGTCAGGAATGGTAACTTCAAATCAAACCACCCTATATCTCCAACAATGCTTAATATCGATATTCTATATTCTATATTATGAAGAAAAATCCAGGAAACATACCATGCTGCCATTCCGATGCTGTTGCTATCACTATCAACTTTACCACTAATTCACAACAACAGTCAAACTCCACCTTCATACCTCCAAAACACCTTTCACTCATATACCTCTTTCAAATGCTACATCAAGTTCCAACAACAAAAATCTCTTTCTCGCTATCGAATGACTTTCAAATCCCCCTCAATCTTCGTACAATTAACGCAATCTATCTACTCAGATAACTAACACCCGTGAATGAACTTTATCTGCAACGCTCTACTCCTTGTTGCAGAGATGGGACCGTTCTACATCTCATTTGATGAGAAACAAATAGTTCGCTGAGAAGATGAATTTATATACCCATCCCATCCTCACACTCACCCACCCCCTAATTTCCAATTCCCCACCAGACCCCCTAAGTAACAAGCGAGAGCCCCATCACTATAAATATAACAATGAGAGTGGATAAATTATAACAAATAACACAATTCCAGCCCCAATCTATATAAAAAACTTCATCGGCAACCTAACTACCAATCCACTTACCTCTACCACACAGAAACCCTAATAATATTCCTTCCCCTCATCTCATTTAATTATCTCCTCTCTCTTCCTCTCCTCTTCATCCATCCATCTACCAATCCTTCCTTCCGATATCCTCAACATCCACTTATCTCCATCCCCAAGCTCCAGCCAGTATAATAAAAACTAAAACTAGAACTAAAAAATCACTACTCTTTCTCTCTCTGTATTCATCATTTATCATACTTAAGCTATACACAAAGCATATTAACGAAAAATCTACGCAGCAGTGACAACACAGCACAACATCGAATTATTATCATAAGACATAAAATACAAAATGATCAATCTTCAATCTTTATCCCTTGTTGATTGAAACAATATTTCTCCTAATTCCCTCACCCTCATCTCCTCTCAAATGGTACATTCAGGAATCTCTCTGACACGCTGTAAATAAGTAAATATCTTTCTCTCTCTCCATCTTCTCTCTTTTTAAAACAACTTAACCACCTAACCCTCATCACTCGTCACTCTTCACTCTTCACTCTTCACTCTTCACTCTTCACTCTTCACTCTTCACCCTTCACTCATCACTCATCACTCATCACTCATCACTCACCACATATAACATATCACCCATACCCAAACCCAAGCAACAAACTTACTCCCACACTCCCTTATTCCCTTACTTCCCAGTACCTTCAGCCTCCCAAATACACTTTAAAGTCTCAAATATCCAATCTTCTTACCTTTCTTTAATCCTTTTTCTTGCTCATTTATGATATGTTATATTATATCACACCATAAACCCGTTCATATCCACCACATTCATATCCATTCCATCCAATTTCACTCCTAACATTTTTCAAATAATACCTACACACTCACTCACTCGCTCGCCTTCTCTCCGTACTAGCAAGACCACCTCACTCCCATTCTCGCTCCAGTCCCCGCTCCTCCTCCTTCCACCTCTTCCACCTCTTCCACCTCTTCCACCTCTTCCACTTTCCACTTCCCATTTTTCACCTCCGAGATCCAAGATCTTAGATCTCAGATCAGGAGATCACTTGTCAGCTCTTGATACATAGACATACCCACACCCACAACCCTTCTAGGCCAGCGAATCCATCCCACCCTACCACTCACTTGCGATTTTTTCCAGTCCGATTATTCCTTCATCATGTATACCATATACAATATACCATATACCATATACCAGCACAACCCATCTCCACCTATCCGCACAACCACATATACTCATTCTCATTTGCAAAACATATCTCTCTTATATCATCATAATCATATCCCTCTATTTACCGAAATACCTCAATTCCCACTCCCCCCCTCTTAACAAAATCCCCCAGCTCACATCATCCTCACCACTCCCCTCCCTCGCATACCACCACAACCCTGCCCCCCTTGACCGAAAATCCCACCAAATCCCCCCCACCACCTACCATCCAACCTCACCCCCACACCTCCCCCTCCCTCCAAGACTCCCAATACCACCCTATAACCTAATACCAACCTCCGATCCACTCACAATACCCCCTTCTAATTCGTCAATCCCACTCAATCCATCCATCCAATTTTTTCTTTCCTTTTTCTCCCCTCCAAGCCATCAACACAACTCACCTCACTAACCCACCATACCACCCAATCCAACGCAAAATTTTCCTTCAGCTTGTCATGCCATTATACACCCATACACCCATACACCCCTCCATCCATCTATCCATATACGCACACACGCAATGTCACTCCCATCCCCTTCCATACATACATACATACACCCATCCACCCACCCCTACCTAAACCAACCATCACACCACTAACCAGCACTAGCACCAGCACCAGCACCAGCACCAGCACCAGCACCAGCAAACCAAACAATCCTCAACCCTCAACCCCACCTACCCAACCAGCAAGCGACACTACACACAAGCCCAAACAGAAGTGTAACGAAGCAACTCTAGATCTCTCTCGATCTCTCTCGATCTCGCTAGATCCTTTCCAATCTCTCCGATCCAGAACCAACCAACCAACCAACAACCCAACCAACCACAGAACTTCAGCACTGCAGAACCAACCAACTATCGAACGGAATCTGTACCCCAATCCATACTACCATGCCATCGAAAGGATCTAGATTCTCTCACTCTGACTACTCTGACTATATACCTACTATTCCCACCTGGCCGGGCCGAATCACTTATTAGAGGTGCAAAGGTACGATCGATCGAACGAACGAACTGTACTTGCAAGAAAGAATGTCAGAAAATAAAAAAGGAAAGAGGAGAATGATGAAAACAATAGTATAATCATACAAAATTAGATAATGTATATGTATATTATTACTACTAGGTATTATTACTACGTATGTTTGGTAAGTAGGTCAACTAAAGTAGGTAGGTTAGGTAGGCATGTACAATCTATGTAATCCCACTCATTCACCTACCTTTCCCTCCATCCGTCCATCCTCCTCACCCCAACCGCAACCACAACTCAGCAAAGCAAGAAACACCAGATTCGAACCTTTGCTCCAAAATCTCTTCTCTCGAGGTATAAAGCGCCATTCCATTTTCCATGCCCACCAATTTCCAACCAAGAACAATTCGATCCAAAATTCCCTTTCGCTCCATTTCATTCCCATAAACATGACTCTTATTGTCGTTTCCGGTTGGTCCAGGAGAGAGAGAAAGACTGTCATGTAACGTACTACCGTAAAAGAAAATCCTAGAATACCCTCGTGATCCCCAGATTTGGGTCGAAGGAGGTTGTAAAAGATGCGATCGTAAAAGTCATCATATCATGACATGATCCAGCTTCTCGCCTTGATCCTGCGTGCATCCTCAAACAAAATTCATATGTTCATCATGAACCATTAAAGGATCCACAGATCTTGATAATCTCTCCAAATCCATATCCATATCCATATCCACATCTTGATACTCTCCACCCAACAATCCCCCAAATGCTATTTTCGTCTCTCGACTTAACATCGAGGTACCTCCCAGCGGTCGTTCACTTCCAATTCCCATGACCAAATCATCACAAAATGGTATTTCAAATGGTGTAGGTTGTGGTGTATTTTCTCCTTCAATTCCCTTACAAGCTTTTCCACTACTCATCGGTCTACCCATTCCACAATTCTTCATCGATTGTGTCCAATCCTGCATACAATATGATTGTGATGATTGTCTCTTTGCCGCTCTCGCCATACTCATCTTGGCTTCTTCAATAATTTCCTCTTCCCACAGTGGTAGTAATCTATAATTCAAATTTTCCATGATAGCTCTCTGCGTGAAATTAATCTGATCACAGCTCCACAATCCTCTTGCCCATTTCTGCGCATAGTAAAGAGTGGTTCCTTGTTGATCATCTATAAATTTCATCGCCAATATGAGGGCTGCGAGAACTATCACTTCGGGATGTGTAGAATCGATGTGTTGTTCTTCTGCACATTGTGGACTTGGGAAATCGTATTGTTCGAGTAATTGATCTTCGGATGATTCGAGAGGGTATGAAATTCGCCACGAGCGAGCAAATCTAGAATTGAGGGAATCGAGGATGCAGACTGCAAGGGCGAGGATTTCGATTGGTAGATCGGCGCGGGTTAAGAGGGCGTGGACTAGTTGAGTGGAGGGATCGGTTAAGGAAGTGGAGGAGGGGATTAAGTTTGTGAGATGGATTGCAGGACCTAGATTTTGAGAGAGAGATTAGCCTAAATGTTCTGCAGGAAAAAAGGTTGATGGTGTGCATAATGACGGAATGGATTGGGAAGGTTACCAGGTACATACCTAAATAGTCTGGATCAAGGATTTCATCGGAGCTGAAAAGAGATATTGGTGATTGAGCTGCCGTGGTATCGTATGAATGAGAGGATAGAGGTGGGGTTGGTAGATTTGAGAGTGGTACATAAGTTTGTTCGAAGAAGTCCGAATCAAAAGAATCGAATGATGATATGGATGAGGATCTTTTGCGCGAAGACATTGAGAGTGGTGGAGACATTGTTGGATTCATGATTGAAGAATTACAATAAAGAATGATGTATTGGATGTATTGTATTTGTATTGTCAACGAATGGGAGGTTGGTTATGTAGTTTTGAAGTGAGAGTGAGAGTGAGAGATCGAAGGGAGGTGTTGGCATGTATTGGAAAATGTAGGTTGGTGGAATGTATAAAGATAAAGCAATGAAGGAAGTCGCATCGAGGCTTTTATGTAGATGTAAATCCTTATGATGAGGTGATTCCAATGTTCGATTTTCCAATCACACTTTTTTGGTCTGAATGGGAATGAATGCCCAGGTGATTGTTCGATTATAGAAGAGTCCTTTGCCTTTCCTTTCCCTTCTTCATGCAATGCAATGTAATGTGATGCACCTTTGGATGGACTCTCTTTGGCTTGCTGAAAAGATTCGATTATGTTGTATTATGATTCTTAATTGAGTCTTGCCAAGTCGAGGATGAGTTTTCTCGAGAGAAATGAGTGAATTCGAGAATGGACTTTTACTTCACTGTAGAACTTCTTCTTTTGTATCTCCTCGTATCGTAGCACAAGAAACTCGAAACACGAAACAAAGTGAGTGAAAGTAATGAGCAACGAATGAAGAGTTGAATCAATCCTTTATACTTGAAAGATTGGAAGAGTGAAAGAGTAAAAGACTGTCTGAAGCAAACTTACATGAATCACATTAAAAAGAAATCAAACGAGCGGGATCATCAGAGCTCTATATACTTAATTCATTGCAATGCAAGAAGTTCAAGATGAAGTTCGGTGTGAGGAAATGGGGTGGATGAGTTTGTTTTTATGGGGAATTATAGAGATGGATATAAATGGACTTGGATATGGATCTAATTGGACTTATATATGGAAATATATATGGAAATGGATGGATATAGACGGATACAGATGGATGTGGATCTGATTTTCGATGGATATGATTGTGATTATGGTAAATGTAAAATAAATGCGAGGTTGAAGGATACGGAAAACGGCCTTTTTTGATCGTTGTTTCTAGTCAAGGTGGCTCGGGTGGATCCACCTGGGTAAAGCTTTCTTGGTTCAATCTGAGACACATCCAAGCACAAACCATCTATTTGATTTTTCTTCTTTGAAGATTAGATGTTGATTGTCTACCTGGTATTTCATCTGATCCATTGAATACTGATCGAGTTAGGTGTCAGGAGAAGAGAGTATTCTGACTCTGCTCGCTTGACTCTCTTGACTCTCCAAGTACTTAGGAGAAGGTCTAGAAGAATTCCCTCCCTTTTCCCCCTTCATCCTCGCCAACCTGACACAACATAGAATACTTCTTCGGCCTTTCCACAAGCCCTGCCTTATCACGCGATCTCTTCGTACATCTCGTAAACTCACCTACGACACATTGTTCCAATGGCACCCAATTGTAACCTGACATTCCATTCATCCAATTCATCCAACCCTTCCAACCCTTCCAATTCATCCAACCCTTCCCTTCCCTTCCATTCCGCCCAACCCATCTAACCCATAAAACTCGATTCAATATCTAACTAACTGCACATCTGCATATCCTCAGCTCCTCTCCCCCCCCCACAGCAAAAACCTCGTACCACCATGATCCCATTCCACCATGCCCTACCAAGTTACCAAGCCTCCGAGCCATCCCAAAATCTATCCACAGAACGGCCGCTAATCCCCAAAGTACCTATGGCGTTCCCAGAATCCCAAGGTTCGCTGGCCCTCTTCTCGTAATGACTAACCAGTGACCACGAATCCGATCCTTCACCGTCTTCCCATCCTAACGTTTCATGCAAGAAGTAACCAGGGTCTTTGTACAGATGTCCCGTTCGTATGTACAATTCAATGTACATACATGCATGATACATGGGAATATCGTATTCGGTATGCATATCTATTATAGGCACGATGGTATGTAAATGTTACACGTAAAGAATTTTTACTCTGTAGATTTTCCATCTTTCACCCATCGGATATTCCAATCTCATCGCTATCAAATATGTCCGTCCGTCTGTACAGATTAACACAAATAACACAAATAACATTTACCTACTAAATCCTCCGTCCAAACTGTGCAAACTAACTAAACCTCAAACCAAAGCTCGCGTGCTCAGATTCCCCTCTCCATCACCTCATTCCCAAACCCGCAACGATCAGCAAGCCAAAGCAAGCCAAAGCAAAACCCCCAAGGAAAAACCAAACATAAAACCCTACCTACATCACCAGCGACCCTAAAAACTTTAACCCGACCCGCGTGCGTCCATCCATCCATCAACTCACGTATTAGCCAGGAACCACACCACGAACCAACCAACCAAGCACACCTTTTCTCTCGCCCAAGATCCGATCCTCCGACCTTAACTTCTACGATCAGCACGATAGATGAGGAGAACCCTGATGATTTATTGTTTGGATATTTGGAACCCTGAAAATCTACGAGGCATTGCTAGCGATTTCATTTATGCATGCATCATGGGCACTTTATGTAAATCAAGGAACGAAAAATACGATTTCGTCTGCACAGCCACTCTCACTCGTGGTTTGAAAATCAGAGTATGCAGATGGAGGTTGAGATCTTTTCTCAATCGATCGTCCAGATTGACTTCTAGATTTGTGAGAAGTGTATCTGACATTTTCTATGTGAGTCTTTCTTTCTTGATGTATATCTAGGTAGGAACTTATTGGTGTCTGTCATGATGAGGTAATGAGTTTCATTACCACCACCACCTGCAAAACAACTAAATTTATATACAATACAACAGATTCATCTAATTCCAAGACTTCACTTCCAGGTTTTTATAGAGACATAGCTAGCAGTCAATCAATAGACTTATTTGTCCAAGAATCATATCTACCGAGTCGATATAATACATACACATTAATTACTATTCTATGCCTTCTCCCGGTTTCCCTCATCAAAACACAGAATCCAAATTACCCATTACCATCACCAGTATTTATCTATCTACTAAAAAGTATAGATCTATCTAATCGAACATGCGTCTTTCCCTCTCTCCAACTCCCTCAATCAATTCTACAACAAAGATACTTCCTTCCTTCGAACCCAAAAAACAAAAGATAGAAGATAAAATAAACACAACCTCCACCCCAACTTCGAACCCCAACTTCGAATCTCCAGCCCCCAATCTACAGAGTATTCTCCTCCATCTATCAAATACCGACTGGTACCATACTCTATCCATATCCACACCCATCTCTCCATCTCTTTCTCCATCTCCATCTTCATTCATTCATACTTACCAATAGATATCTACCTAAGACACCATCTCATATCTTACCATACCCTTTCCCTCCCTTTCCCTCCCTTTCCCTCCCTTTCTCTTCCATGACCATCTCATATCAATAATCTACCATGCACCATACACCATATCCCCTTCCAAACCCTTCGTAAAGTAAAGAATAAAGCCGCGATGCGCCGCTGCATCATCACCCCACTATCCACCCCACTCCCTATCCCATCTATTCTTCTTCTCTTCTCTTCTCTCCCTGAACTTCACCCCAGTCCATTTCTTCCCATTTCTTCTCATCCCGCTCCCAAGTCTCCGAGTCTCCAAGCGAGCAAGCAGCCAACCTCCACCTTTCACTTCCGACTTTAGATGTCAAATTCAAATCTAAATTTCATCCCGTTCATAGTATTCATGAGTACCTAGGTAGGCAGTGAAAATTTCTTATTTTCCTAGTTTCCTGCTTTCTTATTTCATATATACATACATATATGTATACATACATACGATAGATGGTACATTATAGAATACACATAGAATACACATAGAATACACATAGAACACACATAGAACACACATAGAATACACATAGAATACACATAGAATACAATACATCAAATAATAAGATACACATTATCCATCAACTATCGCTTCACACCACTTCGTACCACTTTGTACCGCCTCTTAGCCACCTCTTACCGCATCCATCAGAATCGCATCCCATCAATTTAATCGTAAACCGCGGCTAATATGATAATATCCCATCCCATCTCAACCCCTCGTCGACATTCCATCATCGGCTCTTCCCGCTCCAAAAACTTCTTTCCTCCTTCTACATCTACCCACCCATCTATCTATTCTCCATATACTAGCTATCCTCTCAAACCCCAAAAATCCCAAGAAGAAGAAGAAGAAGAAGAAGAAGAAGAAGAAAAAGAAGAAGCGGTAAGTATTCAACTACCTACCCAAGTACCGAAGTACCGAAGTACCGAAGTACCCAAATATCAAATATCAAGTACCCATCTCCATCCACCATCAAGATCCATCCATCCTCTCTCTTCCCTATCCTATCCTATCCGATCCTATCCAAATAACCCCAAGAAAATACCAATACCCTCCAGAATCAATCAACCAACCAACCAACAAACCAACCAATCAATCCACAACTTAAAATCTCCACTCCACTCCCTCCCTCTCAAACCATCCATCTGCATATCCCTCAAACCATCTACCATCCACCCATCCCTCAAACCCTCCCTCAACCCACCTACTATTGAAATGCCGACCCACCAACCCACCAACCCACCAACCCATCATCGGTACCAATTTTTCATCTTCTACAATTCGAACCCTCAGATCAAGGGATGATCCAGACACCCACCCACCTACCGCAACGACCTTTTCTCTATCTCTATTGGGATTCTGTGTCGGGATTGTGTATATCTATCTATCTGGCAATCTGGCAATCTACTAGGTATACATCAATGTCTTGGATCTATCTGTGATGTATTTGTTCGCATTGATAAGTAGGTAGGTAGTAGGTAGGTAATTATTTGCTAGGTAGGTAGGTAGGTAAGTAGGTACAAGCTACACTATTTGAATTCTAATAGATACAATATAACACACTCGGTAGTCCTCATTCACGTCAAATGAAAATGATCTCCCTCCCCCTTCTTCCCCACAATCCCCAATCTCACTTTCCTCCTAAACCTCTCTTCCCTCTCCTTCCTTTCCCTCTCTTCTCGAATCCTCTTCTTCCTCTCATAAACCGCCCTCACCGTCCGTCTAATCTGTTCTTTCCCCTCTGCGAAATTCGCCTTTGCCAATTCCACCACATGATCGATATCCTCCGGGGTATAAACAAAATTCCACGTACTCATATAATCACTAATTGCCGGATCCACGCCCTCGACCTTTGGGTTCGCAAGAAACGGTAGATAAACCACTGCGATCCCAGCATCCGGTGTCATCAATTGCCAATCTTCCTTCACCGCTTTAGATAACGGTGGTTCCTCCTCGACACGTTCTTCGGTTGTCCCCACCCACACAGTACAATATCCTAGATCACCACTATCTTCCGCATCTAAACTCCTTGGTTTCTCTTCGCGTGAGACGACCCTTTCCAAATGCGTCGCTTGTTCTTCTTGTGCTTTTTCCAACTTGGTTTCTGCTTCGGCAGCGGTACTGACTTGAGCTTGATCTAATTGTTGTCCTGTTTTCTCAGCTGAATCGCTTGATTTTGGCCAGCCAACGCCAATCGGCCAGCCTTTGATGCCACGCTGTCTTGCATATCCATCCACGACTGACAACCAATTATCTGTTTTAACATCTGCACTTGCGTCAAAAGCAATGAGCACGTCGACTTCTCTTCCTGGTCGAAGTAGCGGGTAGATAGGTAAATTATTGGACATTCCAGCATCCATGAGTTTCAAATGTGTACTGTCATAGATACTTTCTGGGGCTGTTTCCGGAAGTTGTCCCTTCATTCCGTAGGCAAAGTTGGGGATACTAGCTGGATCGATCGGATGAACTTTACTCAAATCCTCATTTCGACCTGCGATCATATCATCGATACTACCAAATCCCATCAACCCCTTGGCCAAAGGTCGGACTTCTCTATAATAGTGACTCAAAGTGGCGCAAAAAGCACTTCCAAAAATCCCAAGAAGAAGTGGCAGTCGTAGCTCGGGTATTCGCAATCCAGTTTCTTCATGAGGAATGTCTTGTCCACCCTCAAATTTTCGACCTAGTGCCCAAGTTGGAATACCTGCTCCAAACTCTTCACAAAACATTTCATAAGGAGTGATCTCGAACCATTCAAACCAAGCTTCTCTAACAGCTTTCTCCTTTGTAGCTTTAGAAGGAATTTCTGTTTGTTTTTCTTGTTCGCTGAGATCCTCTATTATAGGTATCTCGTGACGTACTGCTGTATATATGGGCATTGGATTTTCACCATTATTGATATAATCGCGTTGGTTCGATATCTTTAGATCTCGATCATCCACACCAAGTTCACCTTTTGGTACGAGTAATCTCGCCGCTAGCAGTAAACCATATATATCGACTAAACCAAATTCTGCATTGCGATCTCCTTTCAGCTTTTCGACAAATCCACTCAAAAGGAACTTGTTGGTGGGTGCAGAGTTAAGAGCAGTTAATGCATCGACAGGAGATGCAATATGAATTCCAATTCGTGCTTTCAAATGCTCAACCAATCTATCAAGACGTCTTTCGCCAAGGGATGAGTTGAAGAGGGACTGAAGCCAACAACTACCACTAACACCTGCTGTATAAGTGATACAATCAAACAAACCATCCTCATCAGCTGCTAACATTGAACCTGTGCCAGCTACCAAAGCTCGTAAACCACCTCCAGATCCCACCATCGCAATACGTGGAACATCATCCGGGTGAACCGATTCTTCCGGAAGGCCTAAATATCTTGCCAGAGCGGTTTTTGTCATGAACTTTCTTTTGTCTAAAAATGCCTTTTCCTCATCACAAAGATCGTTGGATACTCGTACGGATGCAGAATAGTTGATTTCAGGATTGATGTCCGGATCTTGAGCTTCTTTCCATATATCATCTGCCAACGAGCCTGGTGCCATGTTCAATTCCCTTCTCAATTTGTCAATGTATCCCGGTAGAACTTTGGCCCAATCCGGCATAATATAGTCGGAATATCCCGCGAAAGTCTCCGAAACAGTTCTCCATTGTTCGTCGGATATTATGGAGAAATTGTTGAATGTACCAATGAAACTTCCCCATGCCGAACCATCTCCTGCTGCTGCATCTTCCTGAAATGGTAGGGCAGAAAGTTCTTTGGCATTTTTTAAAGCTTCCTTTTGTGCGCGTGCTTCAGCTTGTTCTTCTTTTGTTGGTGGTCTCTTTGCGCGTGGTTGTGTAGCTGGTAAAGGTTGTACGTCAAGGTAATCATTTTGGTATAGGATATAAAATAGACCGAGAACCATTATCGTGGATGTTACCCCCACCAAGGGCTTTGAATATTGCGAGTACGAAGACATCTTAGATTGTGATTTCTTCTTGGATGATCCGAATAGATTTCTCGTTTGTAATCTTTTGTGGTGGGATGTACAATTTCTACTGATTAATGTTGTAGAACTTAAAGACCGACATGATGAAATAGGACTGTGTGAATATGATTGTTCAAGTCGCAACAAACGACGAGAAACTTTTGCAGTCGACATGACGAAAAGAAATGAAACGAATGCGACTCGCGATTCGAACGAATAGCATGGGTTTCAGTATAAGAACCATGTTCTTGTGGTGGAGCGAAAACTCCGGGCGGGGAGTGAAAAGAGGAAGAAAGAATGATAATGGGAAATTAGCAAGAGTATCCGACGATATGGGTATTGTAGAATCCGAAAGTTGATATAAGAAATATCATCTGCCTTGGAAATATTTGGAGACGGGTGGGATATGTGGGATATGTGGCTGTGGTGGTTGTTATCAATGACGTACGCCACACATTGAATTTTGCTTGTGATATTGCTCCAAAATGTGAAAGGCATCTGGAATTGATACATGCAAGTAGTGAGAATGAAGATATAATATCATATCCACGACGACGTGTTCTTGGTGAGAGGGAGAGAGATGACAACTCAATGCATCCTTCCACATCTTGTACCGAGGATACCTACCCAAAGAATAAAAAGTAATACCAGATACAGCAAGCCCAATACTGGTACCTACCCAGGTAATATTGCGTGGGTCCTACTGAGAAAAGAAAAGGTATCATGGGGATCGTGAGATGAAGAGATTGCCATTTTTCAATAGCTTTGTAGATGGATACCTAGATAGGTAACTTGGGTTCCTCCCAATCTTGATATGTGTGCTTCTACCATGAAAAGATCGGACTATTCACTGGTCTCGGAAATGAAGATATACTTTATGGTTTCTCCCTTTTCCTACTTCTTTCCCTCTTGTCCTTCTGCTCCTCCCCTTTCTTCTTCTTCTGCCTCTTCTTCTTCTGCTTCTTCTTCTCTTGCTTCTTCTACTTCTTCATCAATTCACAACACCATCCACATACATCATAATAATACCTTCTCCCTCTCCTCCTTCAAACTTGGTTCAACCTGCTAGGTTCTAGGTACATATTAATGTTCTTCAAGCTCGCTCAGAATCTCCACATATAGACCTGTCACATTCCACCGCCTTATCCGATCGCATTAAGTCTAGCGTCCAACCCCCCACAAATGACAATATGTACTCCGTCCCCGTTGGTAGAAGAGCTTGGTCACTCACATCTTCAAATATGGCTGTGGGCTTAGGAGGACGACAAGCGGCCGACGAGGAAGCAAGAGCCGAAGTCGATGTATTGAAAAGTCGATTGGAAAAGACGAGTCAATTGACCAAGAAAATTCAAGCAAGTTTGGGGAGATTAGATGCGACGGGAAAGGGGGTGCAAGAAGCTATTGGGCCAATCTATGGTAATACTCAAAAGCTTCAAATTTTAGGCCAGAGTAAGTTTTGGACCGCGCAAACCACTTAACTCATTCTCATACATATGCGCAGATATCGATGGAGTTATCGCGGCAATCGACAGAGTACGACAACCATCAGATATCAAAAGCAATGAAGAGGACATCATTAGGAAAGGGTATGTCGCATAACTATTAGCAAACTGCAGACGTCACTAATAAATCATAGCCCCGAAGCGGTCGGATTGGCGGTTTTCCTCAGTTCTGTTAAGCGTGTCAATAAAGCTCTCGCCGATATGAAACGATCGAATCTACGATCGAATCAACAAGCTATGGTTGAGCTTAGCAAATTATCAAAGTCGGGAAATACACAATTGGAATCATATTTTCAAGGACTTCTCCAAGAAGATTCTCAACCACTCGAACCTTTACACTATATTACCAAGAATCAACCATTTCCTCTATTGTCTCAAGATAAAACCACGAGGTTGGGTCTTATTACAAATTATATTGGCTCAGTCGTTAGACAATCTGGATTTGTGACGGAATCGCCGGTTATGCAATCATATGCAAGCGTTCGGGGACCTTTTCTGAAAACCACGTTACAAAATCTCGCGTCAGCATCGATGAATACCGCAAAGAAGAAGACGCCGGATGCTATGTATCGACAAGGAACTAATGGAATTGGAACATATGCGATGGGTATGGAAGGCGCATTTTTGGCGGAATACGATAATATATGCGCTCTTTTCACTCGCGATGAATGGGGGAAAGTTTTCAATTTGACTTGTCAAGGAGCCATTGCAGAATTATCACGAACCCTTCGAGAATTAAACAACCACATCAAGTCAAATATAACGACGGACTGTTACCTTGCTTTTGAGATTGTTGAAATTATTTCAAATCTCTCTTCAAATCTGGAAAGTAGGACAGGAGAGTTGAAACCTTCCTTTGCATCAGCTCTTAAGCCAATAAGAGAAACCGCCAAAGGCTCATTAGCCGAACTCCTGGATGATACTCGACGAAGAATTAACCTCCTACAGACTCTACCTCCCGATGCCGCCACGGTTCCAATGACTACCGAAACCATGATGCGATTACAGACTATGGTTGAATTCCTTCGACCAGTTTCAAGTATTATGATCTCCATCGGTGATGGTGGTTGGAAATCTAGTGCAACTCCTCAAGGTTCAACCGACCAAATCCCTAATCTTAAATCTTTCGATGTTAATGCAGATGGAAAACAAATTTTCGCACACTACTGCATTGACACAATCGAAGCTCTTCTTTCGAGTTTGGATCAAAAAGCGAAAGCATTACTCAAAGGTGGTAAGCCTGCTTTAGGAATTTTCATTGCAAACAATGCAACGATTGTGAAGCGCATGATTGAAACGAGTGATTTAAATGGGTTACTAGCACCAAAAATGGGAGAGGTAGAAAAATGGATCAAATCGGGCACAACTCTTTACTCAGCTGCATGGCGTGAGCCATCCGGTTATTTACTGGACGTTCAATACACAAACCGTGGTAATGCACGCCCACAGTCTGGCTCCGGCAATACTGGTATCGATAGCGCAGCAGTTGTCAAAGCTCTGGGTTCCAAAGAGAAAGATCAAATCAAGGAGAAATTCAAGATGTTTAATCAATCTTTTGATGATTTGATACAGAAACATAAGTCATTGATGATGGAGAGAGAAGTTAGAGAACTTTTGGCAAGACAGATTTCAAGCTTGATAAAACCATTATATGATCGATTTTATGATAAGTATTATGAAATTGATAAGGGGAAGGGGAAGTATGTCAAGTGGGACAAAGCTGCTATGAATGCTGTCTTTCTCAGTCTGGCATGAGCATTTGGAATGAGGGAATTTGAGGGGAAGCCATGGACTGCCTGATGGTTGAGACGAGAGCCTTTCGCAACGCGATTCGATCAAAATATACCAAATATGGCCGATACAGCGCGAGTGAGCTCATAAATACTTTGGCGGCTATCATAAAGATGAATCTGGAAAGGGGTTTCCAAGGCATCAGAAACGTTTTTCTTACGGCGGCTGAAGAGAAATAAGCCATTGGGACCAATCAGTCCGGTGGGGTGGGAAATGTCCTTTCTGATTTGATACCAACTTGAGTTTGAATTTGGGTTAACTGGGTTCTTTTTAAGCTGGACAAGGAGTTTTTCATTTTCCGGGGGATTCGCTTGCGTGGGGTATACATGCATGCAGGCTGGGTTTTTGGAATTTGGAGGACCAACTATCTATCTTATCAATTTGCGTTGCGTTGGTATTTTGGGACGGTGGATTTAGGCGAGTGACGGATGGCATTTTTAACTTCTTATTTAGAGTGATAACTAAATATATTGTGTTATATTATATTATGTCATATCGTGCTCTACTTTTCCTAGTTGTGCTTGGTTTGTTGGGTGATGTGTGTACACGCTTTGATATGTGATCATGTAATTATTTGTTAGTTGTTTTGCTAGTGTGGAGAAAGTGTGAATGAGGGAGTGAGTTTCTTTGTTTCTTAGTTGCGTTTGGATGACGAGTGATATGTGATGAGGGTTGAGTAATGAGGGGTAAGTAGTTTGAATAGTTGGAAGGAAAGAATGGGCAGATGAAGAGGAGAGGAGATGAATGAATGAAAAATGAAAAATGAATGGTGATGGGAAAGAATATTGTTCGGGTTTGTGTGAGGGAGAGAGGTAGATGGGTAGATAGGTGAGCAGGTGCTTTTTAGATAGGGATTTTATCTTAGGGGGGGAGGGGGCGGTTGTTTGTTATTTGTTATTTGTTATTTGTTATTTGTTATTATATATTGATTTTGTTATTTGTTATCGTATATTAGTTTTGTTATTATATGCTTAGTTTCTAGAGTTATCATATAGTAAGTAAATATTGGGGGGAGAGGGAGAGGGTTGGTAGGGGGTTCATATTCATTTGAGAGTCAGTATAAGTATGTGAGTACATAAATATAAATATAAATATAAATCCAGCTTCTCTAGGAAGTATGTATCTGTTTCTGGATAAATGAGTGTGGAATGTTTGTATGTGTGTTGTAGGAGGTAGATGGATGGTATCTTTGAAATGAATGGGAGAATGGATTTTAATGTATATCGGACCTAGGTATGCTCTTTTTGTTTGCATCTCTGCTGTAGTGGATTTGCTAGGTAGGTGGTTGGGTTGTAGTGAGTTTGATGTAAAGTTTTCTGTCCCTTCTGCGTTTGTTGCCTGCTAGAGAGTTGGGAGTTGGGAGTTGGTTTGATGTAGGATTGTGTGGTGAGAATAGATTAGATGTATTGTTTATGCGTTGCGATGTATTTTCGGTTGTGTATAGTGTAGTGCTGTGTAGTGTGATGGGTGTATATAGTGTTATTGGATGAGTTTTTTGTAGTGGGTGTGATTAGTGCGAATTTGGAAGGGGAAGAGGGAAGAGAGGCTTCGCGTTGGAAAGATGGTGATGATTCATTTGGCTGGGGAAGGGGAGCAAAAGGAAGAGGACCATAAAAAGATGGGGAAAGGGAGGGCAAAGATTAGAACGAGAGGGGGGAAAGACTAGAGTGGAGGTTTAGGTGGGCTTGATGGGTTTAGTGATATCAAGGAGCAGGAGAGGGGTGTGAAACAGGAGAGAAAGCTTCTGTCAATAAATTAAATCTTTATAGCTAGGAACTTCTATTGTTGATTTCCCATGGAGATAAATTGTTATTGAATAACGGTGGACATTGTCCTTGGATATCAGAAGCGTATATCGCGAAGGAGTATACTTTTATATTTACTTGAGAGGTTTCTTGACATGATGGAAGAGCAAGAAGAATTCGACACAGAGCAGAACTTGTATAGATCCTTAGACCTAAGAAAGAATGCGAACAGTTGATAGGTAGTTTCAATCGAAGAGCCCCCCTGGGTCAAACGAGATGTATTTCTTGGAAATATGTATTTGAATGCTCATGGCTCATTTTCTTCAGCATTGGAAATTTGGCCTCCTTCTCACCCCTCTAAATATCCATAGGTTTGACGATGAAGCATGCCAGACGCATCTTGCGTCAAATCAATTGCGACAGAAGGAAAGGAATCGCAATGGATCTAACTGTAACGGCAGGCTAGAATTTTGTAGCCTTTGCAATTTCAATAGGGAAGATTGTCTGCTTTAACGAAAAGTAGCTATAGTATGATAGCTGGATAGCTTTTCCGGAGATGTCGCGCTCTTCTATGTTTTGTTTTGGCAGTGGTGATAAGAAAAAGTGCATAGATCATGGTTGGAGTAGTGGATTGTATTGCGTAAGCTTCTTTGCTGTATTGATATCAATGGTAACGAAGCGAAGATGACATCAACGATGATAAGATCTAACGAACCAATTCAAAATCTGGACGACTGATGTACACATCCAAAGAAGCTTCCGTTGCTATTTCACCGTGCGGATTTTGTAGCTCTACCAATTCAGAAAGTATTTTGTATCTCATATTCTAAGAAATATTGTGTTTACTTGCTACTTCTACAACTCTATACGTTATTTTGTTAATCTTCCTGTGGTATTGTTAATGCGTAATCTTGGCTTCTGGTGATGTGCTTTGATCGAATTTGCCGGTCTTATATTGATTGATCGACTTATCCGGCGAATCGGCGGTAAAGGGGAATTCCCCGTACCCATTGAAGCGACAAAGTGGGGGGTGAATGTATGAGGAAGATTTGAGGTTTCAGACTTTCTCAAAACAAGCCAAGCCAAGATTCCGAATTCAAATCAAGAAGTCATCTTGTTAAAACGCAGACTATTATATGTAATCTTCAATGTAAAAATAGCTTTAATAGGGTTGAGCCCTAGATTCGGGTAGTTGAATATTCAAAATGATGAATTCAGTACCTAGCACGTGCCTAGGTAGGTAGGTTTGTTCAATCTCAGTAAGAGAAATTCGCATGCATTGAATGCCGAATTTATATTCGCCATTCCAGGGATCGTTGACTGATTATACCGGTAACCTGGTCGGCAATCTATCGACACATTGTTTTCTTCTTTCCGGACAAATTATCCTCATCTCAATATTGTATTCGTAATGAGATCCGCTTTGATGAGCACGCCATGAAGACAATTTCACTACAATTTTGTGGGGTTTTGACATGCAAAGCAGTCCCCCGCAACAACAATGATCAAAGAGTATGATATACTCCCATCTTTAAGATATCAATTGGGATGTCTCGGAGGGCCGGGCTATATGAAGTTTCGTCTTATCGAAGTCCATCACTTTGGTCTTCGTAAGGTAGTTAGATGAATTGGGAAAATACTGCATGGAGCTCTTATCTTACCCCATAAGTATGGGGCAGTCTACACCAAGTGCGTGTGAATGCTTTCTAGCATTGTCCCATTGCTTATCTCTAGTGAATATCACGCAACTTGGTATGGCCGGCGGCGAATTCAGAAAATAGAGAAGTGTAGAAATAGTATGTCTTTGTTTACTCGTGCTTTATATTCCGGGATCAAGCCCGTGTTTCTTTTTCATGATTCTTCGTAGCACATCCTATCCTCATCGTTTAAGCCTGGTTTCCTCAAGCTTTGGAGTAGTCGATCAACTGTTTCGCTACAATGTCTGCCCAGATATCGCACATCTCATCTGATAGTCCAAATGATGAGAATGACTTCCGACACTCAGAAAAGCAGCATGGGGCTGAAACAAAAGATAAAATCGATCCCTTTGTAGCTGATCTTGAGGGGGAAGGATTAGAGTTTGAAAAACAAAAACTCCGTGAGAAGATTGAAGCCGTTGAGCTTATACCCACAGAGGCTTTTCAATGGAATGTTGATGGTGATCAGTCACCTTGTGAGTTTCCTAAACCTCTGACTCGCGACTTTCATAAACTTACATGAATACCTCTAGTTCCCGAGGTCGCTGCTTGTGTCTTAAATACAGATGATCCCAGTATTCCTTGCAACAGTAAGTGAATCTATCCTGATTTATGATGGCTGGTTATTCTTCGTCCTGACTATATATAGCATTTCGCGCTTGGGTGCTCATGACTGTCTTCGTCGTCGTTTTCGCAGGTGCTAATCAATTCTTTGCTTTACGTTATGTATGTCATTAGAGTATAGGCATGTTTAATTTGCTTAACACAATTGCTAATTAAGTACAGCCTTCCTTGAGTATCGGATACGTTGTGGCACAATTATTAGTATTCCCAATTGGGCGAGCCTGGGAAAAACTACCTCGATGGAGAGTACCACTTGGGGCATTATCATTCGACATCAATCCGGGGAAATTTTCTGTGAAAGAACATGCCTTAATCGTCATTGTGAGTCTAACTTGGCACTCTAACTCTCTCATCCCGAGAAAGAACTAATAATCTTGAAGTGCGTGAATATCAGTGCCAGCGCTGCTTATGCTACAGGCGCTCTCATGGCAATCGTTAGTCCCGTTTACTGGAACCATGACAACGGTGCTGGATTCACATTTGCTTTCCTTTTGACAACCCAAATGCTTGGATTCGGCCTTGCAGGTCTTGCCCGCCGGTGGATCGTTTATCCAGCAGCTCTTATCTGGCCTGCTGCATTACCCTCCACAGTTCTTTTTCGCTCGTTACATGAACCTCAAGAACACTTCTCAGCTAACGGTTGGACTTTATCCCGTTACCGATTCTTCTCCTATTTCACGATTCTCGCATTTGTTATTTTCTGGTTCCCAGACTACCTTTGGACGAGTCTAAGTACATTTGCTTTTGTCACTTGGATCGTCCCGAAAAATCAAGTCGTCAATACGATCTTTGGCATGAATTCTGGTTTAGGTCTGCTACCAATTAGTTTCGATTGGACTCAAATTACATATGCCGGTACTCCTCTCACAACACCTTTCTACATTACCTGCAATGCATTTGCGGTCGTGGTGATTTTTTATCTATTTTTATCGCCTATTTTATATTACAGTAATGTCTGGAACAGTGCATAGTAAGTGCCAAACTACCTACCTCCGAAATATATCGCCCATTGACAATAAAACTAGTCTCCCACTACTATCCTCGAGCACATTCGACAACACAGGGTCAAGCTATAATATCACCCGCGTCGTCGACTCCAACCTGGAATTTGTCCTAAGCAAGTATGAAGAATATTCTCCAATGTATATCTCTATGTCGTATTCATTATCCTACGCTCTCTCGTTTGCGGCCGTCACCGCAATAGTCGTTCACACCTACCTCTACAATGGAGCTGAAATCTGGGCCAAGTTCAGAAACTCTCGAGCCGGAGGTGAAGATATCCATAAACGACTTATGAACAATTACAAAGAAGTGCCCAATTGGTGGTACGGCCTTCTGAGTGTTGTTATCATCGGTCTCGGTATTTTCACAGTTCGATACTGGGATTCAGGTCTTCCAGTCTGGGGATTCATCGTCGTATGTTGCGGCATGGCAGTCACACTCATCGTCCCCGAAGGAATCCTCGAAGGCACAACAAATCAGCGTATCTTCCTCAATATCATCACCGAGTTGATAGCTGGCTATGCCTGGCCTGGTAAGCCTATCGCAAACATGATGGTCAAATGCTACGGATACAATTCCGTAAAACACGGTTTAGATTTCGCTCAAGATCTCAAGTTGGGTCAATACATGAAGATTCCTCCACGTGTACTTTTCGCAGGACAAGTATATGCATCTGTCCTGGCCACTGCTACCCAAACAGGTGTATTGAGATGGATGTTGGGGCATATTCCAAATCTTTGCAGTTCAAAGAATACACAGCGATTCACGTGTGCAGGATCAAAAGTCGTGTATAATGCTTCGCTTATTTGGGGAACAATTGGTCCTCAAAGAATGTTCCAAGCGGGCGAAACTTATAATAGTATCATGTACTTCTTCCTTATTGGACCAGTGGTTACGATTGCAGTCTATTTCACTTATAGGAGGTATCCTAATAGTTGGGTCCGATATATTAATGTACCGGTATTCTTCAACGCGGCTGGAAACATCCCACCAGCGAACACGACACAGTATTCACTTTGGTTTATATTTGGATTTTTGTTCAATTTTTTGATCAGAAAGAGAGCTTTCGCGTGGTGGAAGAGATATAATTGTAAGTACATTCCTTGCCCCTCATTCACATTATCCCTCGCTCCTCATCAATCCTCCCATTCTTTATCTTGCACTTCGCATCTAACAATTCGTCTAGATCTTCTCCAAGCCGCAATGGACACGGGAACAGCACTTGCAACTATCATTATTTTCTTTGCATTAACATACAATAATATAACGCTTAGCTGGTGGGGAAATAACGTTGGTTCGGATACCGATGATTCGAATTCGGTGCCGTATCTGAAGGTATCTCCCGGCGGGTATTTTGGAAAGGCTCCGGGACATTTCTAATGACTAGAGGGTAGTGATATAGTATCATATGAAAGATTGTAAATTGTAATTTTGAGCGGAAAATGAAGCGGTTGTAGTCATAGGATACGAAATAATGAACGGTTAATTTTTATTATCACACGGGTCGGAGTTATTGCCATGTTCATCACGTATAGAAAACTGGGTTTTGATGAATATATACTGTCAACCTCGGTCGAGGCATATGGATATCTTGCATCATATAATACATAGTCTTATACCGAATAACCCTATAATTTGTCATGCCTCTCATCTAGCCCTCGACCTCAAACAGGGATACGATATCTCGAAGAGTCACGCAGTATACCCCACAGTATTGTGTAACTTGGGGGTATGCATGATAGAGGCACGTTTTATTGCCCTGTGAGCGTTAAGGCTACACACGCTTTACCTTTATCTGGAAACCTCATGAATCAGGAAATTGGAGATATATTGGATTGATACCGAGCACTGTTATTCAAAGTATGGGTGCAGTATTACGCCTGCATATGCAATGCAATCCTTCGTTGCCTAGGTACTTTCCTGGGATCGAAAAACGAGGGGAAAAGGAAGGGAAAAGAAAATGGGATGGAAAATGCGAGACAGAGGCACGGTTTATCGGTCGGTGAGCATCAAAGAGCTATCTTTCCCCAGCAACAGAATAATGTGATATTCATTCTACAACATTTCTCCAACATCGAATATTGCGTATGAGATGCGATCCTTCATTATGTTCCTAGAACCATATCATTAAAGAGAACAGTAAGATAGAAAGAGGCACAGATCCATACCCATAACTGTATGTCCCCGCTTCGCTCGGTGAGACACATACAGGTAAATCGTCCAACTTACCGCTTTGCTTTGTGCGGGATCCACGAGATAGCTAGCAAGATAGTGATTGTAGATTGCTGATTCTGGCTGACGCAATCTTATCTATACTTGCCTCTACGTACACAAGATAATATATACACGCCGTGGAAAGATGGGATGAGGTGCCACAAATCCGCGCCTCCTTCATGCATCTTTCGTAGGTCTCGATGTGGTATGATAGCGGATATGTAAGATTGCAATACCATGTGATATGGTATGACCAAAGTGTGGAGAACATGCCTGTCTATCTAATTATTGTCCATCCGTAGATATGAACACCCAAGAACTCCAGCGCTTACGTATACATACCCGGCTAGGTCTGGTGAGTCTCTGTTCTGTCTCTGCTTCTGTATTGCATTACGATCCAAATCTGACGATTCGTCTCCCGACCCTTCGCTCTCGCACATACCATTAATCATTGCCGTCTCCGACCCTCGTTGCTGCGGGCGCGGTGCAGCATCGTGTGGCATCGACGATTCGTACAGATCGTATGTTCGGAAAGTTCCTCGCGAATGTTTCAAAGCAAAGTGCAGGATGCGGCCCGAGAGTCATGGGATGGGGTTAGTGAAAGGCTGGGAACTTTTGTTTTATCGGGGCTGGAGCGATGGGATAGTAAGGGTTTGACCCCCACGATAATATATAGTATAGCGTAGCATAGCCTTACTTAATGCATGCAGTTCGTTGGTCACAACAGAGCACGTGCTAGCGTGCCAAATTGGTGTGTTTTGTTTCTGAATAGTGCGTAAAGAGTGGTGTTCAGGGACAGATTTCGCGAGAGGTTCGGAGGTCATAGCTCACTAGGTACCTGGTACCTGCAAATTGCTCAGACAGAGCTGAAAATTGGTGGAGGTCTAAATATTCTGGCAAGTCGTCCCGAGATGATCATCGCTATCAATCCGAATAGATCGTGCATTGCTGACGATACTTTCTACAAAAAACGGATGAACTGGCTGAGTGAGAATGCCGAGTGCATTGAAGATGGAAATGAAATTGTATTATGCCTGTCTACACGACAAGCTTCCTCATTTCAGGCCCGCGGGAAGTGGATAGAGCAAAATGTGATGAAATGTTGTAAATAATAAGCGTGATGTGATGGAGATTTCTAGCCCTGGTCTGAATAGTGATTACTTGACGCGGAGCTAAGTCGGCACATACGGGTTACTTTCATTGAAGAAACGCTGTGGTGGGAACGGTCAAACAAGATGATGTTCGGCCCGTCCATTTCAGCTTTTGTTTGCATCTCTTATTGGAGTATGAGTGTCAATCTAGAAGCTAATACTAGTACGTACCAGGCAAGCGATATCAGTGTGTCTCAATGTGGATATGTGTTCATTTAAGCGATCCTGGTGCTTGAAGATCGTGGGGAAATTTATGTGGCACTCTTTGAGGGGTATTAGTGGAGGGTGTTGCGAATTATGGACCAGAGTGGAATGGGTAATGTCTAGAAGCAATTGAGAGACAGTCCAGAGGCAATATTGGGCCAGAACTGGAAGGTGTTTGGATTGTGGGGGTGGAGTGATAGGTGATGTAGATTTAACAACCCACAAAGAAAGTTAGTGAGTTTCGCAATCCATACATCATCCGGGGTTTGGCCACTAAAACGGCAGTTTACTCAATGGGCGAGACTCTTTCGGGAGCACAGCGCCTTGTTATGCAGTCAATTTCAAGAAGGGGAAAGGGGGGATATAAATTTCAAGGAGCTGCTGTTGTAGTAGGAAGTTTCCGGCAAATACTCGGTTAGATTTAACTGGAATAAATAGGGTAGCAGTGTAAAACCTGCGCCGGCTCCGTATAACGGGTTTCAATCTTCAGGTGATAGATAATTGAAGTTTCAGGGATATCTGCTGTGAGTATATTTAGTCAAGCCATTCAAGCATAGTGGTGTACTGTATACATTGGAGCCGGTGGCCCGGTGGTTTGATCCTTTTGTAGTGCTCACATTTGACATATAATGTCAAGTAAATCGTCCTATATCCAGATCCACATACTACATAGTATATCTCAACCCCCAATGATTGCTATTTGAACTTGTGAACATTGTACATGGTGATGTATAGCCCAGGAATAAGCCGGCAGCTCAATGGTATCCTAAATCTCGTACTCCGATTGAAGTATTAAATCGTAAGCGTTCAAGATGATCGAGATGATAGGACAAATAATTTGGCTTTTCATCGGGATTCACCTAACACAGAAGTTGTACGAATGACCCATTGTAATCACACAACAAACGCATTTTTGTTACACAATCAAGCCTTGAAAGTTTCTTTTGCATGCGCTCAGGAATTTATATGTATGTATATACTAATCTAGAAGTAAGAAGCGCAATTTCCATAAGACATGAGCGGAGAAAGCAAAATCCTTATATTCGACGCAAGAAACTGAACAAGTTCTACAAAGGATTCTCATGTTGTGATAATATCTAGCTTCTTGTTGTGAAGATAAATCATACTTGATTGGTAATGATGATCACTCCTTGGGCTGGCTGAGAAGTTCTCGTACTTACAGAGAGACATGGAGCTCAGGGGAAATGCTGAAATGATTGTAAGACATTTTTCGTCAAACCCTGGCCAACGTGGAGGCTCGTCCCCTACCCGCACCCGATTCGGTTTCTGGCATGAAGTTCAAGAGTTTTCAACAGGGAAGTCGAAGCATCCCGACGGAAAGGGCCAGGCTTCGGCCTGGCCCGGCATCCACCCGTTGATGTTGATGAAGCTTATGTAAATGTTGGTTGGGGGTTAAATCCGCGCCGATGATGATTAAGATGCAAATTCACAGGGGGAAAACACAGGAGTCAGGGATTGTGTGACTTAGAACATGGATTTATATGAGAACGAGGTAGGGTTAGAGGTCAGCTATGCCAGTAATCATCGGTCACTAGACCCTTTTAATTATTGTGACTGAGGTTAATACAGATTTACTCCGTATCGCCCTACATACATGTCTGTACAGATAGATAGACTTAAGGCGGCAATGTGTGAGCTTCCGGCATCGTAAATTAAGTTTGATATTTAAGTTTCGCGAAATACAACACTGTAGTGGGGAAGGTGTAGGGCAGGAGCTTAATATCAGTCGGTGCGTACCCTAGTAGATCGAAACTGTATACTGAGTGGCGTGAAAGGAGGGGTTGGCCAATATGTTCTGGGCTGAATATATAAGGGGGGAATTGCGTGGAGCATTGAGAGAGAACAGTTTGCGAAAGGCCGGAAAAGTAGGCTTCGACATGCCTTGGATCTTGTACCGTTCCAATATTTTTCAATAATAGCATCATCGATTCTACGAGAACTGATGCGTCTTTGAACTTTTTGCTGAGAGATCCAAGGAAGTAGTTAAAAGTGCAGCACCAGTAGTCGCACATTATAGATGTACACACAAGGTATGAAGGCGCCCCGCACAGCTGTAAAAGGGGTTGTTTCGACCGGCCCATTGACTAACCATATGAGGATTATATTTAGTAGCAAATGCTCGTCGATTGATCTTTATCAAAGCCCATGCGTTATCTTCCCTCGCACCTGATTTGTGGCGCACATTGAATACGCTTGTTTGCTTTCAAAATAGAATTGCTGGTGCGAATAATGAGCGTAGGTGGGAGGGAGGCAAAGCAAATTCGACAGTGGATCTGGATGGCAGGATTTCCATTGTGATCCAATTGAAATATTCGAAGAGGGGAAGCATAGAAAAGGAGAGGGGTTGATGACGATGGAAGCCTCACTCTTTCTCACCGCTTAACGAATGCAGGGCAGGACATGGGTACCGAGGCTGTGACATGCACCCCTAGTCTGTTGCTTCTCTTGTGCATGCGTTATAATAATGAATAAATGAAACAGGCAACTTTGATATCTGGTGAGCAGGTGTCGATAACCAAATGATCGTAAGAATCTGGGCATAGACTGTTGGAGGGATCTACTGTTGCCTGACGTTGGCTGGAAGTATATATATATCAAGCAGATCCTCATCTAAGAATGAGCTTCAATCATCCGCTTCGAAAAGTTTCTTCCTGATCCTCTCCTGTATCGAACAATCCAACCTTCAGCCTTATATCACCAGCAAATAATATTCGCACCAAGCATACCGAACAGCTCCCTCTTCATCTCATCCACACCATCGAGACGCCTATTCACACCTTTCTCTCTCTCCCTTTCCAAATCTGCTGCTTTAATCACACTAAAATGGCAGTCATCGAAATTACTCCCATCGTCAACAACTGCTGCGTGCAATGCTGCAAAGAAGAGCAGTATGGCGATCACGACTATTGCGGTTGGTGTGAGGTTACAGATTGTCTTTAAGAGAAAACTATCATCTTGTCTTAGTGTAAGCTGATAAAATTACACACAATGACATGGGGACGATTATCTGTATGCTTTAGAAATCCCCTCGACAGAACCAAGTGGGGGTTACCTCTTTTGGGAAATAATGGAATTATGGCATCGGAGCATAGGCGCATGGGATACAACCCGATTATCTGGGTTGAGACGGACGGTATGGGTTATTTGGCATGGGTTGAACTCGGGAACAGGATTGGCTGATGATGATGTGCTACTTGCACGTTTGTTGGATTATTTTTGGTACCGAAACTTTCGTTAAGGTAATTCATATGTGCTTAAGAATGGAAGATGCCAAGTGTCGTTGGAATTAATTTCCTTGTTCCTGCGTGTCTGTAATGTGGTTTCTTTTCTGAAAGTTTGATTCATGTGGCTTTTGTGAAACCCTGTAAGATAAATGTAAAACAAACGAGGCTGTGTTGCAAATCTTCTCGCAAATTGGTAAAAGTCTTTCCATGGAAGAAACCTGGCCAGTCGTGATAGCCAAAATGTGATGACAGTTACATTGCATCCAAGACTTCTGGAAAGCTGATGAAGGCTGTCGTGAAACCCTCAAAGGTGGTCAGACCGCAGCTCATATAAGAGGCGCTTGTCACACAATCTGAAAAGTTCTAATTTCTTCTGCCCGAGTACAGAACTTTCAGCCCACTCGGAACCAGCATCCTAAGCAATAAATATTGTACTTTTCAGGAATCCTACGGTTTTCCTCTCTATGCTTGCATGTGAAGTGCGACGTGGCAGTTTGACACATCCTTCTATCATCTTGTGATTGATCCCAGCGAACTGGAAGATTTGAATGCCCAGCAGAAGATTATTAACCACATGAAATACGAGCTATACGTGATTCTAATGACACAATGAAGGGCTTTGCGGTGGCTGCAGCAATTAAGAGCTTGGCGTAAGAAAGTAGGAAGAGTATGACAGGTAAAGTTCGGTATGCTGACTGCCGACACCCGATGCAAGAAGAAAAAGATGAAGAAGGAATGTTTTGGGACGAATACCGTTGAAATACAACGTTGAATCATTCCAGTTTGGAGAGTGGCGTGATAAAAGAGGACATAGCGTATCCAAAAACGGAACGAGCGAGATGGAAATGGAAGTGACCAACGGTTCAATGGCAGAGAATTCGAAAGTGGCGACAGGACACTTCAAGTAGGTAAGAAACTTCAAAGTGGTATGAAGTCGTTGTTTGAAAGATGTTGAGGGAGAGAAGAAAAAGAAAAAATCGACAGCAAAAGTGTTACTCATTTCATCATGTCATTAGCGTTACTTACTATATTGACCCATTTCTTTTCACCAAAGCTAGCGATCATATGATCAATCGAAAATGTTATTAAGTGCTATTATTCATTATTCCCATCTCAGTATACCTATATGATTAACAACCTATTATCCGTACAATGCCAAAGTGGGGGCTTTCATTTCCTAGCCACATTATATCCACCTTCTGAGAATCTACGCGATCCTACGAAGCAAATGTGGTACTCTTCACAGTTCGGCTCGAGTAATCACCTTGAGCAACTCTGGCAATTACTGTCCCAGTGGAAGATACCTTTATCGTATTTGAATACAGAGTATACGCTCCGGCGGTACCAAACGAAGTCAACGTTACGTTTTGCTGTACAATCTTTGGGCTTATAGTCCCTTCTTCCTCCGTGGGAACATACAAAACAGCCGTCATATATTCATTACCACTGGCAGATGTTAATGCAGCGCTTTTTACAATGATAGATCCACTGCTTGAGTCGAAGGAAGATTGTGCCGGCAAGACAAAAACGTTGTCATTGACTGGATAAGACACGTTGTTGGAAGACAAAGATGTCGTCCCGGAAGCAATCGTACTATTGAATGGCCAATAGATAGTCGAGCCGAAGATAGAAGTTCCAGTACCGGATGAATTACTGCTAGTGCCGGTGGAGGAGTTTCCAGTGGAAGACGTTGTGCTATAAGAGATATTTTTTGGAGGCCGGATGGTCGTGTAGAGATTTGGATAAGTCCTGAGATAGAAACATCTCCAGACAAGGACATATCCATCATCACGTCCACTGCTTTCCATTCCATAGGGTTGACTGCATCAGAGAGAGTTACTGTACTGTGTATAACTTCTATCATTTTCTCAAACAACGAGTTGCATTTCGTTTGAAATGCTTTCTCCTCTGACATACTTTGAATGGCTGCATTGTTGTCAGATGTATACAGACGATAATCTGATCGATCTGCCACATTTGCCGCTGTACATAGCGGACCTCCACGACTTACATTACCGTTCAAATATTCATTGATATTATTTGGATCCAAAACACCGGGAGTCGAGTCGAATGGCTCACCTTCATCGATATTAGTTGCTGTCACAAAAGAAGAGTTGACAACATTTGGAGTGTCATAATTGTGAACACGGCCCAATGAATGTCCACATGCTGTTAGAGTGATGGCTTCACTGGCATGAAATACAGCTGCTGCAAATTGAGAAAGAGTAGTGTTCAAATCTGTTGCCGGTCCCGGTACACCAGCTCGACCTGCCGACGTTGCATCAATTCGGCCGACGTGTAATCTTGTTCCCGAACTAGAACCACCGCATTTCCCAACCGATGCGGCAACTGCTAAAGCTGCGATGTCACTCATGCTTAGATACGCGTTCACCGTCTTTTGAATGATCAGTATTTGACAAACATGAACCATGAAGTCTTAGATGAATCGTACTGGCTTGAAGAAAGTCAAGAAATCGTTCACGAAAAGTCCATGATTTTCTCCGCGAGTGCTTTCAAAGCCAGGTGGTGCATCCATACCACTTTATAAAGTCAGCTAATGCTCTTAATATATACTAGTCAGAACAACATACCCTGTACCAGTAGCAGTGTCTGCTGTCACAAATTCATGAAAGGCAAATCGAACCCATTGAGCGGAAGTTTGCTCTCCTTGGTTACTAGACCCAAGTGCATAATTCAGAAATGACGATACACCCTTCAAAAGCCCATTCGAATTGGTCCCATCATTGCCGACTTAAATATGTTCCATTTCTTCCATCATATTTCTCACGTCTATACCGGTGATACAACTTTGTCAAAGTCTCAGTCCCGATGAACTATGAAAACTTCCATTTAAGTTGCAACTACATCATCTGTGGCATCCAAATATCAACGGTGTCATAGCCATTCAATATGTCGATCCCATTTTGATCAATTGAAAGCTAGCTAGTCGTCAGATGAGATGGTTCGACGCCGTCTCTATGGCCACCTCGACCAAAAACCGCTGCCAATTTTAGCATTTGAAACGCAGCGTACACATCGCCACAAATTGCTTCAAACTGTCAGATAGGATGATCTTCATGAGCTTTTCGGTGATTTGAGTCGATGATCCCGAGAGGTCAATTTCATACTCGTGCATGACTGGGAACACACAACTGCCCAGCTCAGACTGGCGTATGAAGCAATATGAGAACCTTTGGTTGACATTTTAATATCGCGTTTCTAAGCAGCTCACACTCATCGTTACCACTATAGGCCGCTCCAGAAAGAAGAATATAAGGGTTTTCATAGTGTTGGTCAAAAGGAATCTCTGTCTGTGGATCATTTCACCAGAAGAAGGGACGTGAATGTTTGTCTCTCTCCTGAGACTCTTTCTCGAAATTAACTGACGGCAGAATATCCGAGTCGGAGTTATGAAGATCCGCTACGCTCAAAGCATGCTTGGCTTTGCAGATGATGGCCAAGATGGAGCCGTTGGCAAAAGTATGCATGGCATGACCCTTAAACTTTTCGACCAGCACTACGGCGCGTATGGATATCGACGCTGAAGTCAGAGGGTTTTATGTAGCACCGACCAAAATTATGTCTCGGTTTGACTGAATTTCATATGTAGGCGAGGTAGGCTCGTAGGATAATATGTTGAGGCTCATCCCACATTTTAGTTTAGTCTAACCTCAAGATCAGCAAATATAAACTTTACCATTGGTTCATCCAACATGAGTTCGGAAAGGGTCTTCCAGAGCTTCTTATCAAAAGTTGTAAGCTAAGCCAAACATATCAGGGTGTCTGCAAAGTCAAAATATCTTGATGAACGTATTCCAACGGGAACGCATTCATGCCAGACGTATCTTACCTCAATTACTTACAAATACATCTTGAACATGGGAATTATCAAGAACTCCTTGTGGGTAGTATAGCCCAGTAATAACGCGGAGCTCTATGACCCACACACTTCCCGCACAAAACCATCATCGCGTTTATGTTAACATTAATGAGTCCGTACGACGCGCGTCTCCCTACGCCAAGTAGGTACTGCAATATCAAAGCTATTGATGCTTTGCGGACACCCGATGATATCTGCTGTCGCTCTGCCTGCACTAAGATAAGAATAGCTTGATGAGAATTCTTGATCATGTGCCTCTCTTTCGAAAGTAGTGAGCTCATAAGGTACTTTCCCTTCGAGATGGAAGACCAAATTATCACTACCTTCGTAGGACCCTGCATAGTACCTTCTTGTATAGAGTTGCGCAGTTTCCAGTCATCGTTCCCAGCTTCAAATGATCTCATCACATGACCGTTTGGTGAAAGAGAGGGGATAGAATAATCAGCTGACAGTGTATCTACTGACGTTCTTGATTCATGTATATGTTCATACTTTGTAAATTTACATTTTCTATACATTTTAATGTCGACACCTAATGTCATCAATATCGATATATGTGTGGTGCAATCTCTTGCGCTAGCGTGATGTTGAAGAATGGAATAATTTGTTTTTCGTGTCATAACACAGACTCAGGTCGGTATGGTATTATCATCGTCGGGGTGAGAGATAAGTGTTTGGTAGGTTGTAGTTTATCGAACTAGAATCTCAACCTATATCGAGGATTTTGTGCTTGTAAAGTTTAGCCGTTATGATCTTTTGTACCATTCTGTATTGATACAGTTCGAATAAATCACTGAACTAGAGCGGAGTGTAAACAAATTTGTATTAAATGTGGTTGGATCATTGAAGAAGGTCACTTGAATCAGTTCAGAAAGATTTGGCACAATACCAATTTGTTTTGGTAGTGGTCATTACACAAAGTTTGCGAAAATGCTTTAATTATTTTAATGTATTCCGAGAAACAAACAAACAATAATCAGCTTAGAGGCCCCTCGCTCGTTAAGGGCCATCCACTGTAGCGAATCAAGTACAAAATCATTCAAACGATACAACTATAAAAGGTATATCCATCCATCTGCAATACAATATAATCAACATAGACAGCCTTCGCTCACTTAGGACCATCTATTGTAACAAATTAAAAACAAAACCATCCAAATCCTACAGCTGAAGGAAATACATACATAGAAAGATCAAGGACTGATTCTACTCTTCGACGAACGATACGATATTTCTCGGCTTTCAACCCAGGGTGATTGGGAGCCATTTCGAGACCTAATTCTACCTTCTCCAAAGCCTTATCAATGCTCCATCGGTCTCCCCTGCGTACTTCTTCCCATAGCCTGAATGAAACGGCTTCCATGAATATGTGATCTACAATTCGCTCTGGATTTGGAATGAAATTGGGGAATGATAAAGGAGCTTGACCTTGTGATGACATCTTGTGAATTATGTCACACGCATCGCTTGCGTGTTGACCCAAGCCATTATCTATGAGATGGCGCATATCCGCAAGAGCATTTTGTGCACGATGGTAGCATATTGTGGAGTAAATTTCGGCTAGTTGATCTTCAAATATTTGTCCTTCGATTATTTGATCCTCAGGCTCTAGTCCTTCCTTTTTAAAAAGTCTGGCAACCGTCCTGTTGCGAAGGGAATTCATCAGAACTGAAATTTTGTAGTCGGCAAGCTTGTAGAATGCTTCGGCATACACGTATATACCTCGAAGATGATGGTCTCGTCCCTTTCTTATTATTTCTTCTAAGTCTTCTAACACGCTTTCAGTCGTGATAGAGGAAACGGCGGGAGGTCTCGTATTGCCGTGCTGTATATAAGATCCCGACAAGTCGTTGAATATATAAATTGGGCCTTCTTTGATAGTGGAGAATGGAGATAGAAGTGCATCTTCTTTGTTCTGTAAGGCCTGAATGGAAAATTGACTGCGACTGCCATCAAAGTATGCAGACCTGGAGACAAAAGGGTTTTGAAGTGTGACATCATGATACGAACGCATCTTTGTACATGTTGAGATGAACCATTGAGTCTGGTGGATAGCTTCGAGAAATATATTCATGTGACGATGCGATATGACTAAAGAATCAATCGAGTCTCGTTCCCATACACTTCTTCGCTCATCACAAGATACGCGATATCTTATGACACAGCCATCGAAAGAACGGTCTTCGGGCTGTATATCTGTTTTGATACAGATGACTGGCACTCGGTATAAACGAAGCATAGACTGGAAGTCGTTATTCAATCTTCTTCCTACCCCCGATAGTTGGACTTCGACGAAAAGATTCTTGGTCATCATAACGTATTTTGCTTCGTCGTGGATTTGATGACAAGTTAGCAATAGATTAGGGTTGAAATTCTTCTTATACACAGGGAGAGATATTGTGTCTAAGTTATCAAGTGGCTTGGGATCTTCGATATCACAAGTTACCATCTCGTAAATTTTATTGCGGATTTCGCCAGGAAGATCGAGGAAGCGAAAAACTCCACGGGGGGAGGTCAATGAAAGCCAAGCGGACATTGCGAAATAAGATGTGGGGTTTGAAATGGTTGAATTTTTGCTTTCTATTGAAGAATTTTATATCGAAACGATGTCGAGGTTTGTGATGACTTGATGTGTGGTTTAGATAGATTTATTCGAATTTGTGGAGGTAAAGGATTAAATTCGAAGTAATTGCAGAATCTCGTTAAGCGTAAGGAGATATTTGATATTGGCAATAGTAATTGTGATAGACTAGATGCAACACAATCGTATGTGATTGTGAAATGATTGGTAATAACGATAGTAATAGGGTGGATGTAATGTGAGTGTTGTGATATTCAAAGAGATCTTTGAATTGGTAATGATGATTGTGAATGTCACAACTATGTTGAATTGAGAAAAGAACTTGGTTCTGACTGGTGGTGATGATGTGGTATGTACGATGATGGAATATAATTGTGTATGAGATATACTTGAATGGATAATTTATTGAGAAATCTGATAAGTATGAGGCAATTATATGAGTTATGGTGTAGGATGTGTATGTAGTTGTGTTTCGATGTAGAAGCTGGCTGAAGGATTTCTTAAGTAGACTCCAGATTTCCATTTAGACTGACTAGTCCGGGTAATCTAAAAAAATTCTCCACCCCCGCAAAGTCTTTCGAGCTCTTAGTTCATATTCGAACATGCCAGATTTCGTTTTACATAACCCACAATAGATATGATTGCTCATGATGAGCGAATGGTTGTCAGAACCGGGTTTAAGAAATCTGAAAGTGGTAAGACGGCTTCAAACGGTTTGGTCTAGTGTAGGATAAGTCACGAATTTTGAAATCTCTGTTCTTACTTTCGATACTAAGAAGCTAAGATATACTAGAAACTCTCACAATTCGACCAGCCAATTAATCTTTGAGACATTATACGTCATTCAGATGAAAATCTGTCACTTTTGTATGAATAATTTAATTTAATAATTGACGACTATCAAGGCATCATAACCATTTTTGTAGATGGATTCTATTTTGAACTATATCTCGTCTGCACTTTAGCTTCTCCTTAGTTTCGCTTAGTTTGGGCCCGGTAAACACTAATCAATGTCAGGACTAATATGACAGAAGTGCACTCGGTAGGACTAGTATTGTTTCATTTGTGTTGTAATTTTCAATATCTTTGTATGCTTACAATTGAAATCATTCCATAGTGATTCAATAGAGAATGTGCTCCTCGTTTCCCAAATTTTGATCAATGATGTGAATTTCAGCGGGTTTTATTTTCACTTTGAATCATATTGAAGACTCTGGTCGATCATCTTCGTTTTTTAGACTTTGCTAGCAATTCATCTGGTAAAAATTAGGGTCTTCTGCAGTCTTCTTAACTATTTTCGATGGCATGTACATTTCTAATATTTGAATATGACCATACCAGTACCCTTATCCAGTCCAAGTGATTTATGACATCTTCTTACGACTGAAGTGACTGCTACGCTGTTTAATCAAATTCATGGTAAAAGGCAATCCAATTTACCTTATAGATTTTTTCGGGTTAAGATGATGTCTTTTGAAAGAATATGATATGCTTTTGGCGTACCCATATTGGAAATAAGAACAGGGATTGAAAGATGTGCGGGAATATATGTAGAAAACTTTGACTAGGGATGGAGAGTCCATGGCTGCAGAGAGAGCATTCAAGGTTCTTTAATAATGATGTAAAAGCTGCTAGAATTTTCAAAGTGTTAGTATATGAAGTTGAGCATCGACAGCAGCCAGGTAAAGCTCTTGAAATACAACACATCTCCGCATGCAGGCCATGATGGCGTTCATTGGTACTGCGGAGCATTCCCAAAGCGCAACCCAGATACCTCTATGTCCCCGTTTAGGATCAGTGAGATGACTTCATGTAACGAGAATACATTGGATATCAAGAGTGATTTCTATGATTGATGTCGGGCTTCTGGCGATACATCCCTGAGCGGCATATGAATTTATCATATAGACGAATCGATATCTCTATGCATATCAACATGAACTGACGATATTAAATCCAATTCCAGAGGTAGAGCAAGAAATTAGGGAGTCACCAACCTAGTTCCATAGCTAATCGTTAGCTTTGTTATGCAACTGTACCAAGTAATCACCCAGTCATCTTGATGGTCCTCTATCGCAAATTTTCCTCTCTATTTGGTGATATCACGGACTGTGTTCATTCATACTCGACTCGGAATCGGATCCTCATGACCCCAAGTGAATATCCAAAAGTCGTGATATGTACAGAATTTTCCCTTCTCCTCACTCTATTGAACAACTCAATTTTACTCCAGTTTCTATCTAAACAGCAATTAGTTAGCACTCATATGTTTTGATCCAGATTAAATGTTATACACTTGCTCTCTTCTTCGTAGAACCATAAATATATCGGTGGCTGCACATCGCTAATGCACAACCCCCTGTCCATGTTGTCTGGGCGGTTTGGGGGCACAATTGCTCTTACCAGGCACAACCTTTAACCGCAAGAATCAATAAGAAGTGAAGAAGCCCACATAATGAGCATCGTAAACAAATAAATAAATAAATGCCACATTCAAATGGCTCGCATTGCCGTCGAGATTGAAGGCGACAACCCTTCAGATCCCAACTTTCTTCCTAACCCCCCACGCTTCAACGTCGAATTACCACACACATCGTGCTTCACCGAAGACAAAAATGGTAGCCTCACGAGAAAGTTTTTCACGACCCCAGATGAACTCGCAAATCACTTGAAGCGCGCTATACCGCGTCATAAGGAGAGGAAATTGTATGTTTTGGAAGGGTTACCGATTGAATATGTACAGGTATTAGGTTCACACTTCAACATGGATGTGGATATCTTTGATTCGCATGCGATGAGAAAGAGCGGGCAATTGAATAAGCTGGAATTTTCTACGAGATCAGGGAATAAGGAGAAAGTTCGAACTTTTGCTCTGGACCATCCTGAGATTGCGGCAAACATTACCCCGCTACCCGAAGCCATTGAAGGGATTGTTGATGATTTCATGCTACCGTGTCAAACGATAGGCATCTCCAATGAAGGTTGGAATGGAATAAGTGTAAAATTATGTCACGTGACTTTGGTGTGCTTCCCCGAAGAAGATGGGAGTGAAACTTGTAAGATCATACTTTCTTTCAATTCAGGACATAAATTGATGGTAGTTATTTAAAGTATTACTGCTTCTTGAAAATCAGTCGTGGGCGAGAAGAGGCGCACAGTTTCAAACTGCGGGTTACCACAGTATTCTTGCAAATGCCCTCAAAAGTCTCCCGGAAGGAACGCAAAAATGGAAACCATCCCGAAAACATGACCCAGCTTTGACTCTAGCGGACGAGATTTTCAATTCTATAGAATCGCCAGGTGGTATCCTTGTTTGGGATGACCTCACAGAGATACTTGCTGATATCGTACTCAGACAATGGAAATTTGCCTTGTGCGAGGTAATTGAACATGCATGTGCATCTAGATTGATCCCTTATCACGAAATTCATCAAGTGTGTGATCTAATCGAGTCTAACATTTGGAGTTTGGATCGTACTGAGGCTTTCTGGGGCCCTCGTTTTGACGTTAGAATGGAAGGATTTAAAAGACTTTTGGAGAAAGCAAAGCGTTATGCAGGATTATTTGTGTGGGGGCAAATTGTGGAGGAGGGGCTTGAGACGAAGGCCAAAACCGAGATTGAGAGTGACAATGATGATGACGATGATAACACTTCCACGGCTTCGTCTAAGTCGGGAGTGCATATTCGTGGAGGAGAAACCTTAGATCTAGAAACCCGCCAAAGCATCAATAGAGTGACCTATCTTGGGGGTGTGTTGCTCCCGTTCTCCATAATTGCGGCAATATTTTCGATGGGTGGGAATTTTCAGCCGGGTGGAGATCAGTTCTTCATATTTTGGGTCATTGCTATTCCAGTATGTATACTCACAACAGTTTTAATATATGCAGATAGTATTCGGCGAATGACCTTGGAGCAATTCGCTCAACAGTACGGGTCTGCTGCAGTGACGGCAAAAGCTGATGATATGGTTACCTCATCAATTTCTGGCAGTGAGACCATTTCAGACATAGCGGGTATCAGAGAACGTCCTACGTCGCGTTTCCCAGGTATTTGGAATCCACGAAGAGCTGCTTCTCCCTCCAGTGTTGGCTATACAGATAGCGATAGTGATAGCGATGATGGTTCATCCTCTACAGACAGTACTCGGCTGCCTCCAGGTCTATCCATAGACGGCGATTTATTAGTTCGCAGGAAAAAGAAAAAGGTGCCAAGATCGTGGAGTTGGCGATTTTGGAGGCGGAAACCTCTGAATCGAAAATTAGATCCGGAAAACGTCTTGCCATCTCCTACACATTCGGATCATAATTTATCTTCACCTTCTGCACCTCCTCCACGTCCTCCACCTTCTCCGCCATCCGGATTTCACTCTGTTCCATCTCCGCCACAAATTACACCGGTGAAACCCATACTCGTTGGAAATAATCCTCCGGGGTCTCTTGCTTCCGGCCACTCTTCAACCGCCGGACCAGCTCCGCCAAAAACACCCCCAACCAGTCCTCCTCCGCCCGATCCTGACCTAATCATTCCTGACCAAACTATTCCTGAACCAATAGTCTCTGAGCCAAGCTGGGGTTCTTGGGGAACTCCTTCAAAGAAAAAAGGCAAAAAGAGCAAACGCAAGAAGACAATCCTAAATGATGAATTCGATAGCCCAGACCGTTCGCATCTAGCCAGTTCTCCAGCACATCCGTCTATACCAGACCCTGCAGAGATACCACTACCCCTGTTGGATTCAGATTCGGATGATTGGCGAGAGCGAGACAGCTCTGAGGGCATATACCCTGAACGATCTCCATCTCCAGGTTGTGCAGACTCGGATTATGCCACAGATCGTGAACGCCGTTCTTTAGAAAGACGCATGAGAGAAAGTGACGACTGGGAACTGACTAGAAGAGGAAGCAGAGAACGTCTAGGTAGTGGAGATATATATGAGCGCATTGTTGAGCGAGAGGTCATTCATCATCGCCGGCACCGATCTGAGCATTCTGTAACGTCTGAGGAGAAAAAACAAGTAATCGAAAGAACGACTGAAAAGCTTGTCGAAAAGCAGGAAAGAAAACATGCGACAGATGATATCGTAAAGGATGATGACGATGTTCCGGAAGACCGAGGAAGACAACGAAGGCGATCTACAACACGACGGGTCCATCATGGAACTTATTATGATTATCCAAGGCGGCCAATTCCCAGCATAGATCCTACTGAGATACCATTGCCACCATCACCAGAAGATCTATCAGAGGAGGAACGCATTAGAACGGAACTAGAGAGAGAGAAACTCGAATACTTTGAGGAGTTGAGGCGAAAAGAACGTCATAAGAGAATGGCGGAGATGGAAGAGAAGTATGCAAAAAAACGAGCAGAAGAGGAACATGCAAAGAGGCGGGCAGAGGAGGAATATGCAAAGAGACAAGCGGAAAAGGAATATGCGAGAAAAATAGCCGAAGAAGAATACAAGAAAAAAGCTGCAGAAAGTAAAGCTGCCAAGGGAAAAGATCGAGGCTACTCCCCTGTGGCATCCGATGACAAGGGAGCAAAACCAGCGATAAAGTTCAAGGACGCTGTGGGAAGGAAATTCACTTTTCCGTTCCATTTAGTATCTACATGGGCTGTATGTCAATTGCTTTTATTTTTATTTTTCAACTAATCCTCATTGTTTCTTGACACTTGCATAATTCCTCGCTGACTACTATCATCTTAGGGAATGGAAGAATTAGTAAAACAAGCCTTCCTTCATGTCGATGTCATTGGTCCTCACGTCAATGATGGTCACTACGATCTCATTGGCCCCACAGGCGAAATTATCCTCCCTCAAGTATGGGAATCAATTATTGAGCCTGGTTGGTTGATAACTATGCACATGTGGCCAATGCCGGAGCCGCGAAGGCAAGCACCCGCGCCTATGCCTCCTAGACCAGGACATCCCGGTAGCTTTCCACCACCTCCTCCACCACCTGGATTTACGGCAACCCAGCCCGGTGGCCTGATGAGTGGACCTACTCCGAGAATGAAGAAATCTACGCAGAGTGAAACTATGGGCTGGATGGCAGGAGCACGTCACTCGAAATCTCGCAATAAACAGAAGTCGGCACCGATACGACTTGGGCCTCCTCCACCGCCTTCGTTCCCTTGGGCCCCTCCGCCGCCACCGGCATCTGGAAGACGAGGATCTGATACGGTCGTCATAATAGAGGAACTGCCACCAAAAGTTCATAGAAGACAAACGGGTATGAGCGACAGACATAGACACGGAACAAGCGGCGGCATAATTGGGGGAGCAGCAAAGCCTAATGAGGAGTTGGGGTGGGTGAGAGCCTTGGGAACCATTGTTGGTGTGAAGCCGGGGATACAGGTGAAGAAACGGAGTGGTGGAAGTAGTTCATCGTCGAGTGTTTGATGGAGCATTGATGAGATGACTGGCCGCTCGTAAATTTGGGAATGTGGTGTTGCATGCTTTGTCCATGTAAATTGAGAAGCTAGGGCCTCAATGGTTGAATGCGTGCCTGCACTTGCAGATTTGATTATAGTTATGTCATTACAAAAGGGTGAAGTTCTATTGGAGGATGTTCATTGCATGTATTTATTCTATGTACAGACTCTACTATACATTCTTTGGCTTCGAATCTTTAGGTAGAGCATTACTTTTGAGGTGGCTGTTGGGTGGTTGGGGTACCACTGTCGCGCATGAAATATGTCCATTGCCCCTCGACAGGCTTCTCCTCGAGATCCTCCCATCTACAATTTTCAATTAGTCACGAAGGATCAAAAGAAGTTTATATATTTCACTTACACTTTGGCCTTCAATAAGACATTAGTGAGGGTCAATTCGCCCTCGGCAACCTGAATGACCTCCTCGATCAATCCAGCACCAATCTTATTCTCGATTTCCTCGATTCTACCATCGCATGTCAGTTCCTCCACATCTCATCTTAAGCAGAAAAATCAAACTCACTGATCGACATTCAACGCAGGTTCGTTCTCCCAGACAACCTGTTTTTCATCCTCACCAGGTCTCTCTTTAGCCAAAACGCTTTGTCCCTTTCTTTCCTGTGTCGTCCTCACGCCCTCTAACTCTGCACTTCCTTCCTCTCCGTCCCACTCCTCCTTACTCCAATCAACCTCCTTTTCAATTTCCGACTGTACAAAGACCTTGCCTCCGGCGTTCAGTTTCTTATTTTTCCCCTGATCAAAGTGTATGCCACCCTCTGGGGTAGTGAAAACTTCTGGATGCGCAGCAAGAGTTTCTTTCGCCTTCGCTGCCCATTCTTCGTATCCAGCTGGCACAACAGATTGCACAATTTTCAGACGGTGGTTTGTAAGGGCCTCGGTAGATTGGCGGTACAGAGATGTGGAGGGGAATTCTTTCAATTTGTCGAGGGTAGAGGCGTAGAGGTAGAGTAGAGCGGAGCGGGGCGAGGGATGGGTATGGAGGCCAGTGAGACCAGTAGGTGTGTTAGCCTCGAGATATCTGGCAGGCTTAACAGCTGCAAATTGCCGTAATGTACGACGCATATTGGGCAACTTCAATGGGTGTATTAAACTGTCAATAGTCGTTATCTTAAGATAAATCGTGACGTTTGGGAATCTTGAGCTTTGGAGCTTCGGCAAGTCTTGGCGGCGAATTCATGCCGGGGTTTTAAGGTCTTTAGAAATTGGTGAAGTTCTATTGGTGAGTGGCTTTTGAGGGTGGCTCAACATTGGGCAGACAAAACCAATAAAATTTGTGGCTGTGCAATAGATCTAGTTGTGATCGTGATGTGAGTTTTTGAAATTTGATAAAACTGTATGCTTCGCCTCGTGATCACATTTCCATTGAACTGAGCAGAAGCTCTTTAAGATTTTTCCGCTTTTTGTTCTACATTACAAAACCAGCCACTTTTAACATGGTAGTACTTGTTCACACCAGTCATGTTTCTGGTAAAAGTGCTACTAAAACACCCAGTTCGATCTCCATCTCATGTCATGAAGCCATACGCCATGATATAAGAACCACTATGTACAGATATAAGCAACCACCAAAGAACGCCTCGCTCCTTAAAATCATGTCTTAGTGCAATACAGATATACACAAACACGGATACATCATCTCTTCCTTTTGCTTTTCCTATTGGAAGATTGTGCCCTAGATCTCTTCGTATCCGCCCCTCGAGGTCTCGTCGGTGTTCCCTCGAGGCCTTCATCGATTTCTTCGTCGTCCTCGGCTCCATCTTCCACGGTTGTGACAGTTGCAACACTCTGCTGCCTCGAACTCGATTCTGCTTTCGCCTTTCCCGCAGCTCTATTGGCACTCCTTCCCGCTCTGGTAGATTTTGGTGGCGAACTTTGTGCAGGTGGTGATGTTCTCGTCTCCGTTGTATCGACAGTACTTGCTCTCTCCTTTCCCCTCTTCCTTTTTCTGGTGGTTCCATGAACCTCGGGCTCTGGTGACTCTTTTGGTTCCGAAGTTTCCATCAATCTTGAAGGTGACGAATATGCTTCACTTAACTCTTCATCCGTTCGTTTCCCTCGCATGAAACACATCTCTCCATATTCCTCGTCGGGCAATGTAAAGTCAGGAAACCGATCTTCGGTATCCTCTTCGTAATCGAATGAATTTTCGCGATCGTCGATCACATCTAAATTGTAACAGGTTCGCAACTTCTCCCATATGCCAGGGATCCGAGTATGTTGTTCAACACGAGGATCATAACCGTGATTCCGTAGATGTTCTGAAAGTGCAATCATGCGAAAGTGTTTGTGCATACCTGAGTTCAGTGATTAATTCATCTGATCTGTTAAACCATGTATTTAAGACTGATTATCGACCTACCCGCTGGTTTCCACTTGACAATACCTTTGAACAATGAGGTTTCTTGTTCATCCGTCCACGGGTCTTTCAAGATATTATGGCTTGGTTTTAGTGGTTCGGCCTTTTTGGGAGTATCAATTGCCATGGCATCTTGGTCTTCAACGGGCGTCGAAGCAGCTCGTGTGCTTCCTTTCTTCTTTTTCGGTGGCATTTTGGCGGTATTATTTTTACTACCAAATAATGAATTGAAGGGTAACATCGAATCGTAACCAAACTCAGCCTCACCATCAGCCTTTTGCAATAACTACGCTAGCGGATTTAACGTCCGCCTAAACCGCAGACGCGTTGGAGCGCGTCAAACATCCACGACCCCCGCCTACGAGCACAGTACATTCATATCTCAGCTGAGATGATAAAAATGGATGACGAAAGAGATCCAGGAGATGTGTTTGCTATACCAGACCTTTGGGGTCTATCTAGATGTGTTGATGATGTAGTACAACCAAATAGTCTTTTCTCAGATCTTAGACTCCCTGGTTCGTTCTAACCATGTACGTGAAGTAAACAAATATACTGTGCTAATCGTTCACAGTCATTGACTTTAAACTACCAGACGTTGCAGAGCAGTGTCAACATGATGATTTGTTCTTCGGTATCCCGGAACTACCCATAGGCCCAGCAGAGCCAATTGTTTCTCCATCTCAATCTGGTGAACCTCTTGGCGACACATCCTGCAACGAACCGGTGGGGCCTGAGGAAGCTGAAGGCTTTGATATTTGGATGTTACAGGAGCAAGAGCCTTTACAGGAGCCTGTGAACTATCAAACATGGGATTCCTTTACCATCGAGCAATTCAATGAACCTCAAGCGGCTTATTTGACCGAAGCTGGAGCTCGAGTGTTCGATACCGCATTAGCTGCCGAAGACGATTTCTTGAATGCTGAAAATACTCTTCATCATGTGGTGGATTCGAAGATATTCGCTACCTCAGTCCTCGCACTGGGATTAGGTAGAAATTCGATGTTCTTCGCGTGGGATGTAGAGAAGCGTTCATTTTATGCGACCCTTCAGAAGTTCCGAGTCTCTGGTCACACTGCACAATCTCTCACCGGTTTTTTGGCTCCTTTTTATGAGTGCGGAAATATTACCAGATTTCTTCAGGACTTTGTCGAAAAGACTTATTCGTCAAACAAGTCACCAGGTCGAATCGCCATGGCGGAGTCTATTTCAACTGTTCTCGCAACAATCCAGTCACAGCTGAATGTAAGCGCTTCTGATTATGAGAGCATTTTACAACTGCAAGCATTGTTTCAGCCCGTTCACTCAGTTCTCACATGTTTCAAACGATTGGTGACGAAGACATTACCAAAGAAAAGTGATGAAGCAATACTGTCAACGCTTTTTGAAGAGATTCAACTTCTAGAACATAGGACAGACACTCTCCGAGATATTCTTCTTGAAATACTCTCGAGGGTATCAATACCTTGGCTTGAATTCACCGGTGAATGGCTTGGATTACAAAGAGAAGATGGCGTACCGCTAACCAAGGATGGTTCTGGGAAGAGCTTTGTAAAGGTCGACAACAAAGAATGGGTGGATGAAGCTGGTCTCGAATTGAATGAACCTGACTTTATATTGGACCTTGAAAGTGTTCCTTCGTTCATCCCTCTTGAAGATGCCCGAATAATGTTTGAAGTGGGTAGGAGCCTTCGGATTTTACGGACTCACCATATAGACCATCCTTTGTCGAAAATGGAAGTCGTGGAGTCGGTTGCACCACCAGCTCTTGAATGGAAGTATTCTTGGCAGGATATACTGGATGTAGAGACTAAGGCCTTGAAATACGAACAGGATTTGACAGCCGCGCTCCGAAAGTTCTCGGAAAATCACTCAACGACGGAACCCACAGCGACCGAGTCCAGGTACGAGCTTTACGATTTTGATCTGGATTTCTTCGGCCGACCCGAAGAAGAGATTCAAACTCGTGTTGTAGCTTCCATCAATCGATTGGACTCAAAATTAAAGGAGCCACTTACTCCTGTTAAGTTTAAACGTCTTTTACAGGATTGTCTTTCATTGGCTCCGGAGCCTTCGCGAGTGGATGAATCAATATTTTCCCCGCCCATTTCGCTGGCCCCCATACTCTCATTCAATCCAATCATTTCTGCGCAAGCTAGAGTGGTCAATGGTGTTTGCATGCAACTATTCTTCAAGTCTCATAAGTTACGAGATCATCTATCTCTCCAAAGAGATTTCCATCTGTTGGGAAACGGTGTTTTCTCAAGTCGACTCTCTCATGCACTATTTGATCCGGAATTAGAAAGTGCCGAGAGACAAAAGGGAGTGGCTTTGTCTGGTGGAACCATGGGTTTACGACTCGGCGGTAGAGACACATGGCCACCAGCGAGCTCTGAGTTACGACTTGCATTAATGGGCGTTCTCACTGAAAGTTATGCATCATATCAACCTGCGAATTTCTCTTCCATTGATAGCTATCTTCAAAGACAGAAATCTCTTCCAGGAGATCTAAGTTTTGCTGTTCGAGATATGTCCGAAGAAGAAATCAAACGGTGTATGGACCCAAATTCAATCGAAGCCCTAGATTTCCTACGGCTTTCATACAAACCTCCTGCGCCGTTGGAATCGATTCTGACTCCCATTATCCTCTACAAGTATGATCAGCTTTTCAAACAACTCCTTCGTACTCTCAGAATGCTATATGTTGTGTCGGCGCTTTTCCGTGATGCCACGGATAGGACATCCTCGTGGCAAAACATACATCCCTCTGCCCAGAAGTTCCGTATTGAAGCTCATCATTTCGTTTCTGCGGTCTGTGGATATTTCTTCGACACTGGAATCGCAACAACATGGGGTATTTTCCAGAGAAAATTAGATGAAATTGAAGCACGCATGGACTCTGGGAATTTTTCGCTCGGTCAAAACGAGGGGCTGGAGAGTCTTAGAGAATACCATGAACGTGTGCTCGATAAGATGCTATTTGCGTTGTTCTTGAGGAAGAGACAGAAACCAGTTATGCAACTACTAGAAGAAATATTCGGCCTGATCCTACGGTTCTCGAAGCACTCAAGAGAGAAGGCTTCGGGAGCAAAGCCAAATACGGGTAATGTAGGCGAAGATGAGAATATCCAAGTGATGTATGGAAAATTCAAAAAGAGAGTAGGAGTATTTGTCACTGTTTGTAGGGGATTGACGGAAAAGAAGGGGTACGGCGAGAAGACTTTCAATGCCCAAGCAGGAAGTGGGGGTTTGTTTGACGCTGCGGATCTAGCAGAAGAAAACACAGTTGGGCAACTGGTATTAAGATTAGAGATGTCAGGTTATTATATGAAAGGGGTATGAAGTTCTTGGGTGAGCTTCACAAATGACGATTATGGCAATGGTTATGAATACTATTCGTGATAGGAGACATAACATCAGAACACTTCAAAACATACTTTTTGGATGGACCATGTCATTTAGATTCTGCTCTACTATTTCAAGCTCCATCTTTAATATTAATCGAACCCATTTCAGTAGCGCACGTTCCGTTTTGCCATTCATGCGTGTTTAGGTACTCCACCTTTACGTAGAGACGAAATGGATCTTGCTCTTCTTGTCAGGAGCAATCTTGATCGAATCTTCTGATTGTGGTATGTCCCGTCAAGTCATCAGACTAAGCGGCCAGTATCGACTCCTATGTACTGGATATGCAGATCTCCTAGAAAGAACATCCTCATTGCGTTCGAAAGGACATTCGATTTTGGGATATTTCTACAGGATGGACAAACCCTGCAAAACAGATACGACACTACATGTTTTTCTTTTTTACTTCAATGCGGTACAAACGTTAGAAGCTAGCCAAATGTCACTACTGTACCGGATGAAGTCTACTTCGGCAGATGTTACGACGATACGCGGAGATGCCAAATTATTAGGCTTTCACATTGCATTTCAAAGAATTACAAGACACCTCATGATCAAGCCAAAATTTGGAATTATGGTTTGGAATCCACAGTCGTCTGGGGGTTAAAACATGTGACTGGTTGTGATCTAAATTTTGTGATATCTGTTGGACGGTAATGTTTTCGTCCCATCTGGCATACTTCTCTTCTACATACAGAATGGTATTGTGCATTTTTTCCACATTCTTCTTAAGGCCAAAATCGGAAAGCACGAGCGGCAGTACTGGAAAACGCCTTGATATATCGCGCTCATTGATCTGGTATCTTGATATTTGTATTATCATCATTCATTCCTCATGATCACATATTCTTTCTAACGTTAATTATGACATCCACTATTCCTGCCCAATTATCCAGTTTGAATGCTTCCTCGATCAAAAGCACAGTATTCATCTCCAGCCACTACAATATCTAGGGCCTCTAGAGGGATTTTCTTGCCCTCTGCCTAGCTTCTATACCGAGCTTTTCTGGAATGCGATCTTATCATCAATCGTACTCAATCTAACGCTTTCGACATGTTCTCTCCCTCTGAATCGAGGCCTATATGAGTATTTCTTCATCAACAAGAATACTGCAAGTCCGAACAAAGCTAGACCACCCACAATACAACCGACCGCAATACCAGCAACAGCTGATTTAGACAGCCCGCTGGAACCCGACGATGATGAGTCTGAGGTGGTAGACGATAAAGCTGTCGAGGATCCCGTTGACGTCGCTGTAGAGGTTGCAGATGATGTTGCGACAGAGGTCGCTATGCCCTCGGTAGAAGGACCAGTGACAGTAGCGTTGAAACAGGAGACGCTTGTGGTGAAATCACTCTCTTCTACGAAAGTCTAAATGTATCTCGTGATCAGTCCCCCGTAATGATGTGTTCAGTTACTTGTAGTTGGAATGCTTACAATATCTGCACAAGCATAAAATGTTTCGTTCCCACTTCCATCGTATGTTGAAGTGTATTCAAGCTGGATTGTTGCGTTTGTGCCAGCTTCAACATCAGATGGAGAATCTGGTGTAGTATAACACTGATGTCCGGCATCAAGTTCGGAGACCGTATGTAAAATCTGGGTAGTGAAATCCGATTGAGTGGTCGGCTCTGAAATACATTAGTCTTGGGAAGAAAAGCTGGGTGAGCTGTATCTTACTATCCATATATGCTATGCGAACGATGACATCCCAAGTTTCTCCGGAGGCCACAAGTGCAACTTTCCCTGAGTCTGTACGTTCAAAGCATGTTAATCATGACTAGGTTATAATTTTCAAGAGGATCATACCCAGAGGAAAATCTGTGCGGTTCCCAACCGTCCCATCATTTCTTCCACAAGGACTATTATTTTGCCAAGCAGCATACCAAGTACGTTGCTCTGGCCAAACGAACTCAACTGGACCGTTCGCCGTTTCTGCTTCCCCGGATACACGGTCGAGGTTGAAAATGAGACATGAAGCCAATACAGGAAGATATTTGAAGAGCATCTTGAAACAAAGTATCTTAAATGCTTGCAGTTGAAGAATAGCGGTCGACAATCATCAATACAAGAGAGAACTGGGTCATATATGCACGCACCTGAACCAAAAACTATTTCGGGTCCGAACCCGAAAGTCGTAGAGCTTGAAAATCAAGAATGAAAGCCTTCAACCACCTTGCTCTGAGTAATGGTTTCTATTCATTACGAAATACAGCAAGGTACCAATCATGAAAGCTCTTGGCCTTAACTCCATGGGAAAGTACGCATGTGAAAGTGTGCGTTTGAACTATGAGCACAAAATAGAGTCACAAGCATATAACGCTGCCAAGTGATACCGGTCGGAGTCGGGAACATTCACAAGATTTAACAGGCCATGTCAGACGTAGATAATAAGCTCTACAAGTAAAAGAAGCCATTGGAATGTAGCAGCAGGGTTCACATAGCAGAGTAGGCTGGTCTCCTTCTCCACTTTGATATGTGATTTGGTAAAATATTCATGCACGTCCCACTTTTTCGCGAAATTTTATATCTTATCTGATCCGAAATTTCCATCTAATCAGATGTGACTACTGGAAAATGGAGAGGGTGGAGTAGATATCAGCCAATAAATATGTGCAAACTTATCAGATGAGAATCTGATGTTATGGTGGCAGCGCAAGGTGTTATTGGCGTTAAGCTAACATTTTTTGATTTGTTCTTCGGACCAACAGGAATTATTTTACTTGAATCAAGAATTTTCCCGTCCACCATGTATTTGGCTTATTTTCAAAGAACACTCGGGTCAGGCAATTGTTGGCATAGACGGGGGCATCTAAGTTGAAGTCAGTCTCAATTTTTGTGGTACTCTGAAGCCACCCCAGGAAATTTCTCCTCCTCATCTAATCCGATTCAATCTTATCTAATCTAATCGATCTCCGTCCAGAGAAAGGGCCCAGACTAGAGTTCTCCGTCTCGCTCTTTTTTTCTTGTACGAGCGTTGGGTCAAGTGCGACGTTTTCTAAATTATCGGACCACGTTCACATGCAGGGACACGGCATAAAGTATCTTGCTTGTATTCCAATACCCCATCGACCCATATTGGATTTTTTTCGGAATGTCGCCGAATCTCCTTGGCATGTCCAATGTCGTGAGTCAAAGTGGAGATTCAAGTAGACCGCGTCTCAATCTTCGGGACCGTAAATTTTAGCCCTTCATTTCGTCCTCATATATGAAGGCACGTCGCCGATCAAGTATGCATCTATTCATCATCTTAGACAGCTCAATCATACCACCCAACTTATCACCTTGAGACAAATCATCACCTCAATCAGCATCATGGTTTTCATCACATCAATCGTTAAGGTCGCGGCTCTTGCCGGGCTTCTCGCTCCAACAGTCCTTGCTACTTTACCAGAAGCTTTGGTCGTCAAACGTCAAGATGAGGATAACGCTGTCGGTACCAATTCCTACAACTGTCACGACAACTGCGGTATGTTTGCTTTCCCATTAGGTCTCCCCTTCAAAAATATAGCCAACTCTTCAAAATCGATACTGACATCCTTCATAGGTGAGGCTATCCTCGAGTCAGAAATCGATGGTTTCTGCAACACCACAATTTTCTCCACCGACTACGCTGCCTGTCTCCAATGCTCCGGCGAGGATAACGAGGACATATGGCAATACTATGGTCCATATTTGACTGTTGCTGCTGTGGAGTGTGGATCTTCTACTGTACCATTGACCGGAACTCAAGCCGACGTTACCACTGCCATGCTTGCTCAAAACGTCACTACAACCGCCAGCGGCGCTACTACAACTGTTGCCAGCAACTCCGCAACAACAACTGCCGCAGCTTCTACTTCTGGATCAGCTTCTAGCTCTGAATCAACTGCTAGCTCCGGATCAGCTTCTAGCAGCACTGCCACTGGATCTTCTGCTTCGGTATGTGTTCTTTTGTTTTATTAATAGACTGAGCGATTGCTAATTTCTATGAAGGCTACCTCTACCAGTGGTGCAATCCAACAAATCAATGCAGCCAGCGGTTTCCTCATCGGTGGTGTCAGTATCCTCGTTGCCGCTGCTGTCGCCAACTTGGCTTAATTATGACTCAACCTCTTAGAAATGTGCCGACGGCTTTAGGAGTGTGGTCCGGTGGTCAATGAATGAATGATGATAATTTATCGAGTCGATGGTATCTTTCCCTTAGTATATAATTCAAAATGCGAATCATCTTAATCAACCGACTGTATTTTTTCACATTTAATGCGCCATGTCTAGATCTTCTATGCTCTCATATAAAAGCGAGGTTCCATGTAAAGGAGCATAATCTTGCAACCTGTAGAATGTGGAATTCGTCTTCCGATCTCGTCAAAGGTTTGTGCGGACTTAATCGGCTCCACCTCGAAATAAATGATACATCGTGCGATACATTAGCTCTGCTGATCCGAGACTCTGGAGAAACCGTCAGTTTTGTGATTTTTCAGGAAAAGGAAAATACGGAATATTATTCCCTCCACCAAGCAACTTAACTCCGAATTGACCGAGGAAAACTGGAGATGCGGAGATGACTAAAGGATCAGATAACTTAGATGCAACTACACACTCTGATGTATAACTTAAGTCCGTCGCTAGCTCTTTTGGGCAGTTTGCTATTGTATATATATTTGGTGAGTATCTCCCCAGTTGTAAACTTCATGAAGGCATTCTGCAACACTTCGCTACTGAATACATACAACCAAATATTTCGAAAGAACTATTTTCATCATGGGTTTTACATTATACTTTCAAATCGTCAACATAGCGTTGCATTTTCTATTGAAATTCGGAAAGCAAAAAGTCACAGCAATCATTCACCGTTTCACATACCGCGCAACTTCTGATCCAAAGAATGTCGTCATCATAGGCGGTTCATTTTCCGGAATGCATTTGGCGAGGCTCCTTTCCACATCTATACCGACTGGATATAAAGTCACGCTTGTTGAAAAAAACACGCATATGCATTATTGTTTTGCTTTTCCGAGATTCAGCGTGCTGAGTGGTCATGACTATAAAGCTTTTATTCCTTATGAGGGACTATTGGGACATGCACCGGAAGGAGCTATATCTGTTGTTCATGAGAAGGCTATCAACATTCTCAATAATCATATTGAGCTTGCATCAGATGAGAAAATTTCTTATGAATACCTCGTTATTGCAACAGGTGTATCGCAGCCTGCGCCGGCTCGACTGTCCGCGACGGATAAGATAGAGGGTGAAGGTGAATTGCGTGGCTATCAAAAAGCTATACAAGCTTCTTCACGAATTGCAGTTGTTGGTGGTGGTGCAGTTGGAGTCGAGCTCGCAACTGATATCAAGAGCTTCTTACCAGATAAGAATGTGACGCTGATTCACTCTCGAGATCGTTTACTCGTTAGATTTGGGCCACAGCTACATGAAGTGGCTTACAATCGACTTCAAGAGCTGGGAGTGAGAGTTCATTTCAATGAACGGCCTTCACTACCTGATAGGAAGCCATTTATGCCATCGGAGACAGATATTGTATTTAAGGATGGTCAAGTTGAGACTTTTGATCTTGTGGTATGCGATGCCTATTATTGTATCGTCCCTTAAGACTCGATTACTGACTTCAAAAGATATCATGTATCGGGCAAAGCCCAAACTCCAGCCCACTCAAACCCTTTCTACCAGATGCCATCACAGAAAATGGTTTCATTCGTGTAGAACCAACATTACAAGTCAAATCCGAAAATGAAAATTACAGGAATATTTTCGCTATAGGAGATGTTGCAGCTACCGACGGTCCAAAGATGGCATTCGCAGGCATGGCACAGGCGGATGTTGCTTGTTCTAATATCCTTACATTGATTCGAGGCCACCAGAACACACTTCAACCGTACGTTCCAAGCTTTATCGAGGGAAAGATCAAGCTTAGTCTTGGAAAGGTAAGTGATCTTGGGGACCCCCGATTTTGAAGTCACCATCTAACTTTCGCACGGCGTAGGACCGCGGGGTGTTTTTCATGGAGAATGAGAATGGTTATTTACTAAAACTCTCCAATCATGATAAGCCTGATATTGATGCTAAGAAAGTGTGGAGATTCTTTGGGGCGGATGTAAAAGAATGGAAGAACTGAGTTTGGCTGCAGTCTCGATATGTAGCATTTGAAAGAGCCCGTATTCGTTCTCTAACAAATAAAATATTCCTAAAATCAATTCCTTGGAGAACCTTCATCCTCAGTCTCTCTACCAATTGCACGTATTCTTTCACCCCAATAGTACAATAAAAAACAGATAGGACCTCCTGAAACAATCCATATCAAGCCCAATAAACTGTTGCCCCATCCGAATCCCAGTTTGTCATAAAGCTGGGGCCCGAAGATAGGTAGAATGAATCCCATAATGTTCGAACCCACTCGGGATGCCGCATTTGCCGATGCCCCGTATTTACCAAACTCATCAAGTTGGTAAGCAAGAAGACCTTGGCTGAACACCATATTTCCTAGGGTGAAGACAGATGCGCCGATATCAACCACTGCCCATGGGCCAGTTACTTCGGCCACCCAGCCGTACCAAAACAGTCCAATCGGCATTAAGATAGCACCACCCATTGAATATGGAACACGGAACTCTGGTCTGCCATGATTGTTGTTTTTCTTGCTAAGACGTCTGTATAGCCAGTCCATGATACGACCCCCAATTTGAGACGCAGCTATTGCACCAATAGCGATTGCAATATAATGAAGAGCGCTGATTGATACAGTCTGGTTGTAACGCTCTATATAAAGAGTGGCAAAAGTTGAAATCAAAATCGTGTAAATGCCAAAGCCAACTCCAAATGCGAATGTGATTAATTGGATTACTGGCCGACGTATTAAGATTTGGAAGGGACGGGCAAGTCCGATAGACAATTGAGGAAAGAGTTCTTGCCAATATTTGGCATCAAATGTCCTTTCGGCGTTAGATATGAACTCAGCTTCGGATTTGACCTTTCGTCGAAGAAGGACTGGTGTGTACGATTCTCGAATGAAGAAGTACCCCGCTAAGGTCATGAAACTGTTAAAAATCGACATGATCCAGAATATCCATGGCCACACCACCAATTGTGCGATAATGCCTCCAAATATTGGGCCAAGTGCAGGTCCAAGGTAAGGTAGAAAAGATGCAATTGCGAGCGACTTTCCACGTTCTCGTTTTCCATACATATCGGCCATGACGGGTCCAGTAAGCTTTGAGAAGTGGCGAGAGTCAGTCAATAGGCTTTTAGGAATGGGCCTCTTTGTATTGATACATACCGTGATACCACCACTGGCTCCTATTCCCGTCATGAGTCTACCCGTAATCATCAAAGCCTTCGATTTACCGAGTGGGCAGAGAGCATTCCACAGAATGTACCACGCATTACAAAATAGCCATATACCTTTTCGGCCAGTGACTTCAGAGAATGCGGCCGCCACGAAGGGTCCAATGGCCAGACCGAGGAAGTAAGTAGAAAATATTATCTGAGCAGTGTAGTCATCAATCTTCAAATCGCGGGAGATATCGCCAAGAGCGGCGGCAATCATGCTGGCTGACATTAAAGTCACTAGCTGTCCTAGTGAAAATATGACACCAATGGTGATTTTACGCCATGATGGCCAATTATAAGGATTTTCTGGGTCATCTGGTCCGTTCCAGGTGCTCTGCCGAGATATCAGTCCAGTTTTTTTTTTAGATATATACTAGATTGACATACTCCATATTCTTTTCTGAGCGTTTCTAGATGTTGAGAACCTTCGTCATCTGGATCAAGCACTGATTGAAACCCTTCGAAATCGTGCTTCTGACCTGCTAAAACCAGATTGGTCTTGTTATCTGAAGACACAATGTCTTTTTCTGTTGCAGTGCTCATAATTTAGGATTGATGGAGAGATTCTCGTAAATTTGAATTGAAATTCAGGACTTGACTCAAAATATGGAGGGACAAAAAGCGAAATAAATAGAAAGGAAACGGAACTGAACAATGAGCAAAACTTCAAAAAGTCATCGAAGTGTTGGGACGGAGTAACTCTACCGAATAGATCAGACTGTCGATTGCGAAATCCAATTCTTCGAACTTTCGAGATTGATCAACCCATGTACGGAGTTGAATTTTCCTCGAAATAGAATCCACCTGCTGCCACTTAACGTTATCTGATCCGCTGCTAAGTTCTCTTTAAAGTTATCAGATCCGTCGAAACCTTGTCTAGTTTGCATACAGTCAGCCCTAGACGTGCTTCTGCCTGCTTCTGACACAACCATACATCTGTCGTCACGCACTGGACTATCTACTTATCTCTCCGACTCCGGAATAGATGCATCTCGTATGCCACTACCGACCAATCTTCACTGGGTTTTGAAGTAATTAAATGTGAGTCAGACATACTGGGAGTACTGCTTACTGATAACTGCAGTCGAGATATCAAAATTCTGGACAAAAGAATCCCTAGGGTCTGGAATAATCTAATGTACTTTCAAGGTTCTGATCAATCGACGTTGTAAGTCGAAAGATAAGCCGGTCTCGAATCTTATTACCTACACTACTTGAGCGAATTCAGAAACCCTTTCGCTTTATCCTTCCAACCACCATTAGGCTGCGGTAATGGTCCCGATTGTTGGAAAATGTTCTCATTCTCTCCCTCCATAGCAAATTGTAACATAGCTTGTACAACCATACCACCCATTTGTTTGCCATCACTCCAACTGATTCTCATTTCCCCTTTTTCCGGCTGGCAACTTCTCTCATGTGGATATAAAGTATATCTTAAGCCACCTCCTCCAAACTTTGGAATCTCAGGTCCCTCCCATTCTTCCCATGGCCCTTCTAATCGCGGTGCACATGCAATATATATCTTATTAGCCGGAAACTTGTTGTTCCCAAACCAAAGAAATGGTCGTCCTTTAGGTGCTAATTCCGGAACCTTAATAATTGCGCCTTGCGCCTGGACCGGAATGAGATTGACGAGTTGATGAAGTGAGTAAGAACGATCCCATACTTTGCTTTTTCCGTCGAGAGTATGAATGAGAAATTCGTAATTTTCTCGCGAGGTAAAATCAGACCCCGATCGAATGCGTGCCCAATGATTCTTGAGGTCAAGGGTCGGAGATGGGGCATCTTTAGCACCAAAAAGATAGATATATCCATCGTCTCCCACGACATAGGTTGTTATACCAAAGTGTGGCTCATTTTCTCCGAAGAGCATATTGTCGCCCTAATTTTGTGAGTAATCTAAGCGGAAAAAGGCCACAAAGGTTTAAGGTCAAGAGCCGTAAATAGAGCTCCTCATCCCAAATTTTGTAATAGGTTGACGGTCACACTTTTTGAGGATGAATGGATTAGAAATTGCAATACTCACCATCAATCTGTCCACTTTCAAAGAATTGTCAGGTTGAACTTGAACTCGCGCAACACCTGTACCGAAACTCTTGCCAGCCGTAGATCCATGCTTTCGATATCATTAGCCAAACCACATCTTACCAAGAATTTCTCTCGAACACCTCGAAATAATACTCACCGTGTACATTTTTTCATAAAATACCCAGCCATCTCTTGCTCCCGGAAAATCTTCAATGATACCCCCGAATACCCAATTCACAACCCTATTAATCTTTTCCTTATTCTCTGGGTCCTTCTCATACTCTTCTTCGCTACGCGTATGAGGAATGAAGGATGGTTGATATGCATTTTCATGCATGTATGTACAAGTTAGTGGATCATTTTGGGGCTCTGGAACATAGGCAACAGTGTTGTTGGAGACTCCAACAAAATGATTCGAGGAACTATGACAGAAAGTATCGCCGAATAGATAATATGTGTTGCCCCCAAGGTAAACGGGTCGACCTATATCACGAGGATATCGACGGCCGGAAACTAGCAGCTGAGAGTTAGAGTATGATGATGAGATTTAAAGGATATTAACTTACTATCCTTGACTTCACCGAAAACTTGAATATTTTTGATCTGAGGTGGCCTACGTGACAATTTTAGAAGTCAAGTCGAATAATGCTTTCGTGATAAGTTTAACCTTACCATTTCATGTGAGACATTTTGCTGGCGCCGGATGGATATGAAACTCTCGACAATCGGGGTAATGTGCAATGTACTATATGGAAAGAGTATTGAGTGTGTTCTTTTATACACTATCAAACCTGGAAGCATGCTCAATCTGCTGATGCTGCGTGATGTCACTATCACAGGCATACCTGTATACCTCGGTCGGCTCATATTGGTAGACAATATCAGGGTGGTAATCAGCCGTTGTAATCGCGTCTTCCCCCCTATGAGGGTTCTTATCCACGCGGGGGAGGCAATCCACTGTGTGGCTTTCTAGGTTGTTGATTGCTGACTAAGTATGAGAGCTCTTATTTGAGATAATGGGAGAGGCTCAGGTGTGGACGATATAAAATACGAATTAGTAGTTTTTCTTGAGATTGGAAGCCCGTCAATGATTTTGGCAAAATACACGACAATCTGTTGGGGATATTTACTTGCATAGTATGATCATAGTGTATATACCATTGATGCAAAGATAATTGGTTCAGTAACAAGCCACAACAATATCTGCAAGTAAGCCCAACCCCTCCAAACATCACCACAATATCTTCATTAACATTTCACGTCTTATCACAATCCTCCATACCATTCTCATTATGAAAAACTAACTTATCTCCTTTCAAACAACATAAATTTTCCATTCATCTCTCAAAGTCAAATATCCCCATCTCCACCCCCACCCCCGCTCCCGCTCCCAACCCGCACAATGATCCCCCGCAAACTCTCAATCTTCATCTCCTTCTTCCGCTTTGGCTTCGATTTCCAGTACTTTCTGATTCTTCTCACCTGTATCGGTATCGCCTGTCTTGGTAGGTAATATACTATATACAAAACTCTCATCCTCTATTTTACATCACCCAGTCCCAATCCCCGTTTCCCCCAAGGCTCCACCCCTCTACCCTACCCACCTAGACTCTAACCTCAACTCACATCCCCCCAACCAGTCCTCCTCCCACTAAGCTGCACCACTCGCCCCACCCACACCATCTACCTCCTCTCTCTCTCCTACGCCTCCTCTCTCCCCACCCCCATCACCCAAACCCTCCACCGCAACCTCACCTCTCTCCTTCCCCCAAACACTCAAAATAGTTCTCTCATGATCCGCACCGGCTTTCGAGGAATATGTATGACTTCTCAACTTGCAAGTTCGAGATGGGAATGCTCCCAACATGTCACGACATTAAAGGAGATAATCACGAGCACGACCACAGATATCAATATTGATATCGATCCCCTGAATCTCCTCAATCTAGCCGAGTCAGTGAGGAAAAGAATTGTATTCGATGGGTTGCTGTGCGCTTTCTTTCTAACCTCCCTACCTTCCCTACCTTCCCCAAAATACCCCAAGATCCAAACCCTCACCCCCCCCTAACACACCCTAGCTACATTTCTCTCGCCCTCACGCTCCTAACGCTCCTCCTTCTCACTCTCATCCCCCGTTGGAAACCCGATCAAAACCCCGACACCGCCTCCGAACGCCAAGTAAAATCCTTTCCCTCTCGAGCCCTCAGTATGATACTCTGCTTAATCAGCGGTAGCGCCTTCCTCCTCGCATTTACATCTATCCTCTGGCAGCATTTGGCAGCGGTGACTGCTTCGCGATTTATCGAGCGGATGAGTTATGGAGGTGTGGTGGCGAGAGTGGGGAGTAAGGCTATGGTAATAGGATGGCTGGGGGTGTTGATGTTATGGTTTGCGTTTATGGGGTGTTTACTCATGGTGTTGAGTTTGAGGAAAGTGAGGAGGACTTTTGGGTAACGCAACAAGTTTCAAAAATGAGATAACATATCACTGAACATTAAAAAGAACTGTCATGCAACATCTTTTTCGTATCATCTATCGGCTATTCAATATCCAACATGCAAAATGGTATCATCGGATCATCTAAAAAAGTCCATCTCCCAAAGAAAGAAAATCGATTAAAAAGTCATAACTCCCCGTCATGTCATGCAAATAAACTCAGGAACAAATCAATATCCCTTTAGGGTTGTGTTTCCCAACGCTTCCTTCAGCTCTTCGGCAAATAACTCCAGGCGACTAATCATCGAACCCCATTTTGGTAATTCATGATCAGCCGTACTTTGTTGGACACTGGAGCTCACCACACTAAGTTTCAAACTTGGGACGGCCGAGTTGTCAATTTCCGTGTCATTTAGAAGTGTGATTCGGTATTGGAGATTCTTTCTGAGATATGGCTCGACATCCACATCGTTCAGTGATCTCAGATGACCTTCTGAAATGTCTTCGAGTAAGGCACTAGTGAGAGGGATTGTTCCTGTGACCAATTGATTAGGATCAGCTGCAGAGGCACCTGAGGATGAAAGTTTCGCAAAGACGCAGTGAGTGCCGACTAGATTAGGTTCGAAGGACCAACTCGAGGGTCATCATTAAAAGGTCCGAGGAAGACGTGGATGAAGAACGACCTGGAGAGGGCGAATTTCTCGACTTGAATATTGGCAATCCATTCAGTGTATTGACCGTTTGGGGCGAGGGCGAAGGAGAGAAGATCATATGTTGAGTTAAGTTGGTGCTCCCGTCCTAATAATTTAGAAGCGAGACCTGGAAACAAGCCGCGAGAAACCGTCTTTGCCGGAGCAGTGGTCCCGTATAGAAGATTTATGGCCTTGATAGCTTGAGCAGTTGTATTTCCTCCTTGTAAAGTTTCCGGATATGCGTAACCAAAAGATTCCGTTGATATAACATCAGAAGAAGTATAAAAGTTGTTTCCATCGGCGTTATAAAATGGTTTAAGTGGTGTAGATACATCTTGGGTAGTTCCAGCCGTCATAGTGAAAGTGCTATATGAAGCTTCTCTGGGAGTAACATAACTGTCCGGGTTTAAGGTTTGCCAAATGGCAAAACAACGATCGATCATTGTATGATGAAGAAAGAAAAGTGGATCGAAGGAAGAGTAATCGATATAAGACATGTGGCCACCACTTCCTGCCAGTCCGTGGATTTGATCGTGAAGAGATTCAATAGAATCAAAATCTCCTGGGCTAGAGGCGGTAATCCATGCTTCATTGCTGAACGTGCTGTAGTCGTGATAATTGGTGAAGAGATTGTAGAGACGGTTTCGGAACGAAGCTGCACTATTATCAAGCTGTTTAGCAACAAGGCTGTTCTGTGAAGTAGCAGAGGCATCATTGGATGTTGGATATCTCAAAGTCTGGGGAAATTGGCTGAACTAAGAATTGTTAGTTGGCACTTCATTGTGAATAATTCATCATCAACTTACAGGTGCATCAGGCAACTCCGATGGGTCCAAAGGGTTAAAGTGATAACTGAACAGTGGATTTGAGATCGTTTGAACACCAGCAGGGCCATTGACAGTAACAGTTGGGGTCGAAACACTTGGGGGTAAAACACTCTCCCCAGTGGGTGGTACTACAGCCCAATCCCAATATGGAATACGGAAGTTGGCTGCAGCGGCAGTATACCTGTTTCTCTCGGCTCCAGCGGGGAACTGTGCTGCAATGAATACAACGACACTGTGGAGTACTTGCTACAGAAAGTGTCAATAGATGTGTCTCAGATGGCATGCATAGGATGTGTACCTCATAGAGTGCCAAGTAAGGCCTGTGCCAAGTAGGGAAGAGAATCGAGACATGGGTACAATATCCATTATTTTCGTCACCGGGACTTGCTTGAACTCCGTCATATGGAAGATAAGGTCTACCGTGAATGCCTTGTTGAGAGGTTAGCAGTTTACCATTTACTAGGTAGCATCGATAATTACCGGCTATTTGATACCATGAACGAATATCTGATTGATTGATAGTTTGCATCATTGATACTCCCAAAATATACAGCTCCCAAAGATCCGCATTCTTTTGTAGATCCCGGATTTCTTGACGAACAGGTATGGATGAATTTGAGCTGTTAAATGAGACTCCAGTAGTAGGCATAGGAGCAACATCCCGTTTCAAAAGTGCTCCGATGTCTACACCATAATCATAACCCCTTGATCGATTATCGTGAGGCCTTGGGATTGCTTGCGCTGTTTGTGATAGAAATGAGCCAGCAATGGTAAGGAAAGACACGATCGAGGCTCCTCGAAAGAAGACCATTTTGATAAGTATTCGCAAATTATCAGTGAGGAATCTCGGAAGTATGGCGAATGATGTTCAAATTAAGTTCTCTAAAATATTATGGCAATGCTGTGGTAGTAAAGACTGCAATTGGCGATGGATTGAACTATTAAAGGAGTGGAAAGTAAAAACCAGAAGGAAAAGTTTGAGAAACCGCAGCTTCAGATTCACCGGATGAAATACTTCGGCACTGTAATGAGAGTAAATGCAAACAAATGAATGGACGAGAATGAGATGGCGATGAGAGAGAAGCGCCCCCACTACTCAGTGCTCAAGCAGAATGAGTGAACGAATGAGTGAATGAATGAATACAAAAAGACAGTAAATGAGTGTGTGTAAAGAAATCGAGGGATAAGAAGGGAGTAATGCAAATCAAAAAAAGAAACGAGATTCCAATGACGAAATATCCACGGTTACATATTCTTATTATATTTGATTTGTTTCTTTTCCCCAAGAATATTGGTGGAACATAAAGAACCTTATGATGGATGCAAGAAAAGATTAGGGCTCATACGGGAATCCACGAACCAACACCTTACCATGACTCCAGGCTGAGCCTCAGTCAGTTAGAAATTGGGCATTGAAGGAACGGCCACCCGTATGGAATAAGAAAAATAAAGATAATACCAAGAGAACGGAACGGATTGTGCGAAAACGTGATTTCCCGGCCATGTTTAGTTGGAAGCGTGCATCGGCAGGTTGCCGTTAGGATTCATGTAGCGTCCCATTAGGATGGATTTGTGGTCATCATTAAGATTTGAAGATCACCATCCTTCGCCCATTGTTGGAGGCGAAGTTCAGCAGCTCATTTTAGGACAGTGACAGTAGCTCATAGCTCATAGCTCATAGCTCAGTAGTAGCGGTCGTAGCAGTCGTAGCAGTAGCAGCAGTCGCACGTACATGGTGGTAGTATTGGCGGCATTGGCAGTATTGGTGTCGTATCGTTATAAATACCAATACAATACATTTTGTACGTGGTGGTTGTCGATCAAAGTGTTCATCAAGTAAGATCTTGTAGAGATCAGGTCTAGTCAGGAGTTCTAAGAAAGTTTGAGGAATTAAGGATTAAAAGAGGAGCTCGGCAGGAGAAATCTTCAAGGTTAAGGTTAAGGTTCATGATTAATGATTAATGATTGATGATTACTGTATTTAGCCTTTTTCTGCAGGTGGGACGTTGTGATAATGATATACCTAGGGTGAATATGTAGGTAGATAATATATACAATTCAATGAAATGACAATCATCCAATTGGAACATCGTCCTATCTACGAGGTAGGTAATCTATGAGACTCTTGTTGCCCATCTTCTCTCCTACTTACTTCTTAGCACTATCATTCAGACGAAAATCGATATATTCTCCACCTCTTCCATCACTAGGTACCTAGACATGTACAGAATACACAATTCATGGATTATTCAAAGTTCAAAGCGTTCTACATTTATTGTTTCAGAAATCCGTTCATCTCGAGTCAGAATCAAAGCTTACTTCTATTCATGTGCCGATTTATCCATCTACTGGCCTATTCATCTACTGACCTGTCCATCTACCGACCTATTCATCTACCATGGCTGCCTACAAGTGCCTACGGGCCTACCTTCCTACAGACCTACCCAGTACTCATCTCAAAGAAGACCGACAACTTCTTAATCTCCATGGCCTGTCCTCCTATTAGCTTACCTTCCCTTAGCTAGACAATCTCACGTGAAAATGGTTGATATATGATGCCGGTGCCAGTGCCAGTCAGTGCCAATACCAGTGCCAGTATACTATTTCAACCTTCTTTCTTCCTCTTCTCCTTCTCCTTCGCCTTCTCTATTCTTCCATCTTGGGCCGCTTACCCCCCTCAGCACTGCGGACGCCTTGGCATATTACTTACTTCATTTGGTCATCCGCTCCTTTCTCGTGTCATTCATCAATCATGGTACAGCTAAGATTATTGCCTCTTTCAGATGTCTCTATACAATACAATCCATCTGCCATGGTTGTATTTTACGTACCTGCCTAGGAGAGTATGCTTTATTGGACGGTGGGTAGAGATGAGATGTCTTTACTAAATACTTAGTCTAGGTACTATCTACCTAGTTAGTAGTTTCACTAAAATAGCATCCAATTCTGGGAGCGAGAGAAAGAGACTCTGAGTGCTACATCGAATGTTAATCTACCGGTATCTGTCATTAAACCGTCGAAGAAATCATCTAGTATCATTCATACTATACCATTTTATTTAATGATGAGGTGAGCACATAAATTCATCGAAAGCATCTAGCAGACCCAACACACGCGTCTATATTTTCTTCCAAAATGTCTCCACAAGATCAAGGTCCATACTCCAACATAACCAACGCAAACCGGTACAGTCAAGATCAAATCGTAACCCCGAAGACATCTACAGTTTCAGTTTTCATAACATTTCATTCAATCCTGAATCAATAATCTCTATCTTTTGACGATCCATTCATTTAGTGCCCAACAAAATTAAAAAGAAGTACCCCTGGTAAATGCTACAATTATTCCTTTTCCCAAGAACGCCTGCCAAATTTCAATTCGTCAATCATCTTTTGCTCTCCCCATATTTTCTCCGCGAGTCACGCCATTCAAGGTCCAACATTATACTTCAACTTGATACCCATAGCCGCCAATTCAACATCCAAATACTTCAACACACCCGGAACAGCCACAACAGTGGTATCCTCACCACCTACCCATCTCTGTCCCTTACCATCTTCCCATACCTCTCCCCCACCCAACTTTCCTTCTGCTCTCGTCGCACACTTTCTACATCTAACCACGCCAGTTCCCTTCTTTTTGCTTGCAAATGCCGAAACGGTAGGTTGAGTTGACAAGAAAGTTCCACATTCTTTGCAGATCCACGATTTGGTGTAATCAGAGCAGTTGAGTAATCTATCTTGCAACAAGAAAGCAGTACCGTGAGCCAGCAAAGAATCACGTTCCATCTCTCCCACACGAATACCACCACCCTTCTTTCTACCCTTGATTGGTTGACCAGTAAGTTGTGTGACTGGACCTGTGGTTCTAACTTGGTATTTATCGTTTACCATGTGACGGAGACGCTGGTAGTAGACAACTCCAATGTAAATATCGGCGTGCAACTCCTCTCCAGTAATACCAGAGTACATAGGTTCATTACCGTAGTAATTGTATCCAGCCTTCATCAATTGATGTCCGAAGTAGTCACCGGCCTTGTGTTCCTCGTCGAATTTGAACGGGGTACTATCTTGAGCCAAACCGTGTAATGCACCAGCTTTTCCGGCCAAAGACTCGACGAACATACCAATAGTCATACGAGAAGGGAAAGCGTGAGGATTGATGATGGTATCAGGTTGAATACCAGATTCCGTGAATGGCATGTCGACTGCTGGCCATTTTTGTGAACAAACACCCTTTTGTCCGTGACGACTCGAAAACTTATCTCCGATAACTGGAGAACGAGGGATGCGGAGTTTGACAGAAATGGCTTGACAAGGTTCAATTCCGTTCTCATTTCCAATCAATCGAACTTCCTCGATGAATGCGATTTCAGTCTCCTTGTACTTCTCGAAATGAGTTTGGCCATCTCGATTGACGTATTTTCCATTCTCATCCATCGAAACCGTATGCCATGCAGCAATCAAATCACCATTTTGAACCATGCGACCAATGAATGGCAAACCATCCTCATCAATGGCTGCTTTCCATTCAGCTTTCACGAGTCCACCAGGAGCGAAACCAAAAAGCTTCTTGATATTTCTAGCAGATCGAGATTTGTGTCCCTCTTCCAATTCATACTTTTTGGTCTTATAGATTGTTCCATGACCGAAGCCGCGCTCGTGCGCGGACTTGTTGATAATCATAGCGTCGTCCATGTCGTATCCAGTGTAAGAAATGACGGCAACAACGGAGTTCATTCCGTTGGGGAAGTTGTCGAAACCATATTCGTTATGAAGTGGTGCGCGGACAATCGGGGTTTGTCCAGTTTGAAGACGATAGGCCTTGTTGTCGGTTCTGTAACGAATGGCGGTTCCGGGTGTACCCATAGATTGTTTACCCATCTGACATTGGTACATGTTTCTGGGCGATTGGTTGAAATCGGAGAAGGGGGTCATGTTGGCAAGGATAGAAAGAATATGAGTAGGATCAAACTCGACGTGAGTATGTTCTCCAGATTCAATCTCTTGCTCGGTAACTGCAATAGACATGAAAGGTTGTTCGAGTGGTCCAACAAAATCTTCTTTGTCGAGAGGAAGATATTTCACTGGTCTGACCATTCTAGCTGGTGCAGCAGACAAATAGATACCTGGATATTGTCCGCCGTGTGAATTGGGGATATAACCAATTTCCAAATTGGTTGGAACACCATGTGACTTTTCAACCTTCCAGTAGCGTAGAGTATCTGCAATGACAAGAGACTGCTTGGGTGAACACCAACCCATAATCTTTCCATCTAATTGAACAACAACACTCTCATCAGTGGATGATGAGCCGGTGCTAACGACACCAAGTTCAGAAAGAAGCTTTGGTAAGGCCGATACATCCGAAGCGTGTGTGAGAATTATGCATTTGTGTGAGAGATGGTTTAGCAATCCACAAGGACTTCCATCAGGGGTGTGGACAGGGCACATAAAACCCCAACTCTCTGGCAACAACTTACGAACAGTAGTAGTCTTCAATTGAGCGAAGAAACTACCTCTATGAATCATACGGAAATGGGCAATAAATCGTAGAAAATTAATCTTTTCCGCGACAACCGTAAATCCAGAAGTTTGTTGAAGATCCAAACCCGTTGGACTAACAAGATTTCCAGTAGACATGAAGTACTCCAAAGCACCACCAACTTGTTCATTTGTCCTTGAACAAATTTTGACCGGGAAATCTTTTAAGAATTCTGGAGTTGCAAAGTTGTTCTCTGGACTTCGTCGAACATAGTCCCTCAATGCCATTCTCAAACTAGTGTGAAGCCAATCTTCAAGTCTCTCCTTG